TCGTGAGTCTGGCTGCTCTAGGCCTCACTTTCACTCCCTCATTACGCAAACATACCCACTCGTTCACACGCAGCGTTGATACCATCCCTTGCATATTTTTCTTCACGTTTTATTTATTAATGCCAGCCCAAGAGGCATGGACGACATGATGGCGCCAATATACCCGAACATATCACACCAATCCGGACCGGCGCCGAGCGCTCCACTTCTACCTAATACCGATCATCACCTACAAATCCCAAGCCTCTTTGAATTGTCCATTGTTTCACATTCGCGAGTCGAAGTAGGAGTGAGCTGGACATGGGGTGCCTGATGCAAAGTGGAACATCCAATGAGTCCGAGGGATAACGTTTGTATCATATGGACACAGGAAGTACTGCTGTTCAGGGCGCTGCTGTCACCCATGTGGTTTTTGGTGGATTATGCTTGCTTTGTTTCACAGATCTCAGCATGGCGTTGACGGTGATGAGCTGCGAGTGGCACCTCGTCTCATGGTTTCCGGGATCGCATGCAGCGAAGGTATGGCTTTGGCATTTTATACATCTAGTTTAGCTTAAACAGCGGGAAAATCTATACCAATCATGTTCACATTTTGAGGGGTGACAACTACGAATTGACCTGCTGCGAAGTAGAGACGGGAGTGTGAGTACACTATTGAATTGCCCTTCGACTTGATTGATACTTGCTGCCCTCGCCGCTGACTAATATTCGTTAGTGACGGAAAGGTCGGCGCACAGCCGTCGGCCACAACTCTCCGCGCCCTCCGCCGAACAAAGGTCGGTATTTTCTGTCGCCGTCACCGATCATCTGATATTGGCTTTCAGCACTGCACCTTGCCAAGCTCCTCCCGAAATGGATCACGGCGCCGCAGTTCTCGACCCAGCACTACGAAGCGCGGAGCCCTCTAACAATGGCAGCAATGGTATGAGCGGGACCTCTCAAGGCGCTGCCGGCGCCTACCACGATGACGAAGCCGCAGCCGCCGCCGCTGGAGTAAGCTCCGAGGGCCAGGGCCAGGGACACCATCACCACCAGCAACACCCCGACTCCCCCGAGACGCCTCATTCGGCCCACGATGGCGAAACGCCGCAACACGATTCGATTCACGGCGGAAACCCCGACGACCCCAAGCGACCGCGCGCATGTGAGGCATGTCGGGGTCTCAAGGTGCGATGCGAACCCGATCCGAACGATACCGAGGGCCCGTGTAAGCGGTGCAAGAAGGCAGGGAGGAACTGCGTCGTGACGATGCCGACGCGCAAGAGGCAGAAGAAGACCGACTCGAGGGTCGCGGAGCTGGAGAAGAAGATTGATGCGTTGACGGCGAGCTTGCAGGCCCGCGGAAGCTCCGCGGCGCCGGGTGCCGCGCCTGCGGTGGCGACGACGACGACGAGCGCGCATGCTGCCTTATCCACGCCAGGTAGGGACGAGAATCCGTATAATAAGGGTTGGGGAGGTCACGGTCTTGCGAGGGAATGGACTTCAAGTACAGTTGCTGGAACGGGGTTATCTGTGGAAGGGCTCGACCCGCAGGAGGCGCACGCCGCGGAGAAGGGGCGGTTCGACCATATTACCTTCCCGGCGCCGCCCTCAGCCGTAGCAGGGCAAAAGAGGAAACACTCAGACCGCGGAGACGATACGCCGAGCGGCAGCGATATACCGGAAGGGGGACAAATCGGGGCCAGGCCGGCGCCGCCGATCCACATGGGCAGTGACTACGCCGACGTCGTGGAGCGCGGGATCCTGAGCGCGGAGAAAGCGGCGGAGCTGTTTGAGCGGTACAACACGCTCATGGCACCGCACATGCCGGCGGTGGTGTTCCCGCGGGGCGCGACGGCGGAGGAGACGAGGAGGGCGAAGCCGCTGCTGTTCCTGGCCATCATGGCGGCGTCGAGCTCCGAGAGCCCCAATGTGCAGCGGAGGCTGGTCAAGGAGCTGATGCAGATTTTCGCCGAGAAGATTATTATCACGGGCGAGAAGAGTTTGGAGATTGTGCAGGCGCTGCAGGTCGCCGTGATATGGTACTGGCCACCAGAGCACTTTGAAGAGCTCAAGTTTTACCAGCTTGTGCATATTGGCGCCGTAATGGCGCTGGATATCGGGCTGGGACGGCGCACGGCGGGCAGGAAGATGCAGATCCCTTACCAGTGGCGCAACCACCCGTTCAAGAGGGCGCCGCCTCCGGACCCGACGACGAGCGAGTGTCGGCGGGCGTGGCTGGCCGCGTATTTCTTGGCGGCGAACACCTCCATGGCGCTGCACCGGCCGAACCTGGTGCGGTGGACGAGTTTCATGGCCGAATCGATGGAGGCGCTGCAGACGAGCGCGGACGCGGCGCCGTCGGATAAGTATTTCTGTCACCTCGTGTGGACGCATCGGCTTGCCGAGGAGGTGGGGATACAGTTCTCCATGGATGACCCGGCTGTGGTGCCGAATATTACGGATTCGAGAACGCAGTATTCGCTGAGGATGCTGGAGAGGGATTTGGAGAAGTATAGTGCTTCCGTTCCCAAGGAGGAAATGCAATGTGAGTTATCACCCCCTCTATTTATACTCACGACGGTTGTATAAGGCTGTGACTGACGACTATTGATGAAGCAACCCTCAAAATGTCCTTCCACGTCCTCTCGCTCTACATGCACGAAATCGCCCTCCACACCCAAATGGACGACATCCGCCCGCCCTTTGACACAGCCACCCTCAAGGACGGCATGCTCACGAACCTGACCCTGACAACCTCGCACATCAACGCCTTGTCCGCCTGCCTCTCGGCCATTGACGGCATCTTCGAGGCATTTTTAGCAATGGAGGTGCCCAGCATCCGCTGCCTGCCCGTCTTCAACTTTGTCCGCGTGGCGTACGCCGTCGTGGTCCTGATCAAAATGTACTTTTCCGCTACGGCGCCCGGTTCAGAGCTGGGTAGGGTGATTGACAAGGACAACATGAAGGTGGAGTATTACCTCGACGCGCTGCTGGAAAAGTTCCGCGCCGCCGCGTCGGATGATCGAAGTCGGCCTGCGGCTAAGTTCTTGATTGTGTTGGTCATGTTGAGGAGTTGGTTCTTGAAGCAGAGTAAGGGGCTTGCGATGGGTGTTCCCGTGCCGGAAGCTGCTGCTGCTGGGTTCAAGACCTCGAATTCGCAGCCCGAGACACCGGCTTCTGCTGCTGCGCAGTTGTCTTCTCGGCGGCCGGAGGCGACGCCTGCTTCCACTGCCGCCGAAGAGCAGCAGCACCAGGCGCAGCGACGGGTGTATGCGGGGCAACAGCACCCGCCGATGCAGGAGTACCCCGCCGCCAACACGCCTCTTCACCTGCTGTCAGAGATTGCCACGCAAAATGATCGTTCTGGCGGCGGCGGTGGTGGTGGCGCGACGAACAATATCCTCTGGAACCCGCCTCCATCACGCCAATCTTTCCTCTACGACCCGAGCGCCGTGACACCTACCCCAATGGACGGACCTGGTTCCGGGCCAGGGACAGCGGCGTCGAGCGGTACGGCGGCGACGACAGTTGCAGGTCCGGGCGATGGAAGCGGAGCAGGACCGGGAGCCGGACCCGGGCCGAATTCAGTGGCACCCTGGCTGAATCCCGTCTGGACAAACGACTTACAAGATTTCGGACTCGATCCGGGCTTCACGAATGATTTATCGCTCGAGGAGATCACGACGGGGTTCGGGACGAGTCCAGGGAGCTTGAGCAACGGGATGCGGTATGTTATGGCGCAGGACCCGTGGTTGAGCGGGATGAGCGGGCTCGGGGAGATTTTTGAGGGGATGCCTGGTGGATCTGGCCCGCCCATGTTTCCCATGTGAATGAAAACACCGGGAATGGTGTCGAATCACGGGAACGCACCTCCAGGCAAAAGGCCGCTCCGACGACCAACTGCTTCATGCGCCTACATACGGCGGAAGCGACGGCGTTCATTCACGCTCGGGGTTTGGGATGAACCTGGCAGACGGGCTTTGCCTATCCGGCCGGGGTAATGGAGACACCCTGGGTCCGACGTCGGATTTTGCTTATACGGCTGTCACTTAGCACCGACCTCCGGGCTCTGCTTCCAGACCCCGTCTCATCCTCACCTCAACTTTCCGACAAGAAGGGGAACGGGAAGGTTCGCTCGTTTACGGAACACTCCGAAAGCGATGACAGACACCACGATACCACTGCTGACCGACCCACATCCTTTCTGGCTAAGCTTTCCAGCGACACTTCCAGACCTGCTCGGACTTGGGAAGGTAAAGCAGACACACTCGGAGCCGAAACATCACTCAAAGAAGCCCGTCCAACGAATCTCAACTCGTCTATACAACGCCAACCTTCATCTACATGAAACTGCCGTACTATGAGAAGGCGGAATCTTAGTCACGGCCGAGGACGGATCCGGGGAACTCTGGGGAAAGAATGAGGAGCAGAGGGAATGTTGGAACATCTAGGGCTCCGCCAGGGGAAAGATGGGAAGTTTAACCTTTCTGACATTCCCCAGGGGGCCGTTTTGGAATAAGTCAGGCACAAGAGGAGGAAAATTGGGGAGCAGGAGTACGTGCACTTTGCTCTGACTGGACAAGAGACGAAGTTTGCAGAACCCAGCTTCATCCAAGAGGCTTCATCCATCTCTCTTGGAAGGTGCAAAAGTAGTGTCCTGAGGGGATGGGCGGATGGAAACAGAGAGGAATTGGAGTCGAGGGGTCGCTCGCTACAGCACAAGTGAGTTCCGGGAGCTCGTGAGTGGAATTGAGTTGTGCTCTCGCAAACCATCCGATTCTACACTCCCACGAAACTCCATCACCCATCTCAGCAATGTCGTTGTGTTTATTTTTTATTTTTTTGCATGTGCTATTCATACGAGATACCTATGTACGATGAAAAGATGCTTGGGCAGGCGAACAAAAAGGATAGATTTTCTCTCAATTCTCATTCACACAACACACATTAACCACCCCACTCGTTACCTACCCACTTCCTCACATGCCAACTACACCTTGCCTCGACTTACAAATGGAATGCGTTTGGTTGACGATGACTCTCCGCCACCCCCGGATAGGACGGGACCTGCGGTGGACTGCCAACCACGGCTTCACGTGGGGGAATGTGATGACAGAAGCCTCCGTGGAACCAACCCGCCTCCCCGAGTTCGCCTGCTGCCCTATGGTGCCTACACGTACGTGCAAATTCGCCGCCCGCTAGTGAGACCTTGCAAGCCTGGTCCCCGGCGAATGGGAACGAGATACCGACCATCCGGAATGGAGGCCCAGTTTAATCCCACGCTGTGTCTTTCGGGGATGCCTTGGCTGCTTACCACCCGTGTCTAACAAGTTGGCTTGCCGCGACCCGAAAGGCACACATTCGCATTACATATTATTACTCACCCCTCGTATTTGGCCATGCTAGGTGAGGTCTCACTGAATGATAACATCAAGATTTTAGGTAGGGACCGCGAAACTTTCACTTCGGGTCCGAGCGTGTTTCTCATGGTAGCTAAGCTCGGCGTTCGTCGCCGACCGTTCATCCGCCTCTCGCCCGGGCTGTGTGCCCGCAATTTAACCCCTCTTCCAAGTCCGGCCTGTTGTGAACTCTGTACCTATCGCGGCCGCCTGATAAAACGCAAAATCCATGCTTCCACCCACTTTCAGTCTGTCCGGCCGTCGGTACAAGCCCGTCCTCAACCCAAAGCTTTCGCCGCGTGACAGCCAGCGATGTAACGATACCGAAGCCTTTCCCCCTCTCCGTACGCCAGACATGAATCCATGTCGAGATCTTGACACCATCAACATTCTCTGATGGGCCGCAAGCAATAGCCAGGCATGTTCTTTTCCGGACCAATCTTATTTTGGAACCCGAAATCTTGCAATTTGCGATTGTCCTCCATATTCCGCATGCCGTTTGTAAACTCCTCGTGAAATTGCAGTTGCATTCCGCTTCCGTGATCAAATGTGAGACAACGGTCTCATGTGCATGTGGTATGGAGCTTCCCCGCTCAGTGTGCAGCCGCAACCGGGCTGCATCACAACCAACCGAACGCCACGTGGGGTTGAGCCGATAGAAAGTGTTCCCCAGCTTGAAAAATAGACAGGGATAAGGACGCTCAGAATCTGTGAAACGCTTGATGATCTTTTGCTCGTTTTCCATATGGCGAAAATCATGTTCTTGTAGTGAAATGCCATCTTTGATGGGGCTTATTACGATGGCATGATGGTCAACATCAGTCGTAGTAGCCGTTCCTGACGTGGGCTTCTCAGTCCATGTAGAAATCGCCCTTGAGAATGCGTTCCTGGAAGGCATCCGGCTTGGGTCGCTCGGGAGCCTTGGGCTTCATAGCAGCCGCCTGGGCGGGGGGAGCAGGCATCTCGGAGACTGATTTCTGACGATCGTGGGCGACGCCATTGCCGGGGCCGCGAGGAGGAGAGGATGAAAGACCAGAGCCGAAAGAAAAGGACGCTCGTGGTCCCTGAACAGAGCTCTCGGCGCGAGATCTAAGCTGCTCGGACCAGTTGAAACCTTGGTCTGGGCGAGAGAACACGTCAGAAGATGATCTTTGCTTGTGTGCAATGCTTGCCTGTACAGTGCTGCTAGATCGACGCCTGGCCGACGACAGAGCAGCAGCGATGGACGAAGTATTGGTCGGTGGCGTGGAACTCGCAACCGAACCAAGACCTCGTGGAGAGTGCACACTGCCACGTCTGTCGAGGGCAGCAGGAGTGCTAGGCACGGGAGTGGCAGAAGCAGAGGGTAAATCATTACCGTTTGAACCCGGACTTCCACCGCCATTGCGCATGGTGCGCATTGCCTGAGCTCCGAAGCTCATTCTGCGGGTGAAGGGAGTGGTAGGTGCTGTGCGGGCGTTGGGGGGAATCTCCTCCTCGTCGATTGCATTCTCATCGATGGAGTCGTTGGAGTTGGTCGAAAGACTTCCCCGTCGGAGAGAGTTGAAAGCACTGGCACCAGTGGGCGAAGTTCCAGTGAGGCCGAGACCGGTGGTGACGGAGAGTCTCCGTCTCTGAGCGTCGCTGGTGCCAGGGAATGCACCGCCGTTGGAGGTAGAGTTGCTTCTGAAGAGACCAGCGATAGCCTGCTGGGTGACTGATCCACGTCTCTGGCGATGCATTTCGTTCGGGTTGTTCTGAGTGTTCTGGTTGGAGTTGGAGTTGTCGTTGGACATGATGGGCAAAAGAGATAGTAAGGAACGAATTGGGGGCTGTAGTATATGTAGTCGGGGATATCGGTATGTCGTGCGTCGGGTTGTTGTATGCGTTTAGGTAGTCAGAGGGTAGTCCAAGTTGTGTTTCGGAGGTGCGTCTTGCGTGGGGTGAGATCTAGAAAGAATCGAAAGAGGGATCGAACGGGGAATCGTTCGACAGGTGCGGATGTGTGGAACAGGGTGGTTATATATCGAGGTGGCCGATGGACTGATTTGGGGTGACACTAGGGGCGGGTTACAAAAGGTTGATCACAAGGGAAGGGCCAGGGATGGGATGAGCGTACCTCTGTAGTGCGCCGTGGAAAGGTGTCGATCAAGGGGTTTGCTGGCCTGGCGAGAGTCAGAAAGAGAGACTTATTCCGTCTTTGTGCTTCGTTTGTGCGTTTGTGCTGGGGGATCGACGAGGGAAGCGTCCCCTCTAAGCGGCGCTTCCTGCACAAGCAGCAAAGCGGGTTGAAGCTCTAAATTGAGTGACGTCGAAGCTTAGGGGGCAGGTCTTGGATCAGTGGCAGCACCCTAGGACGGGCCAGGTAGCAGGGGCAGAGAGTCAGGGAGGACCAGATTGGCAGAGTAAACGGGCTAGAGGGGGATGGCTGGTTGTTCTCACTGTTCTGTAGTGGTTTGGGTAAAACGGTGGTGTGTGCTTGCGTGCGTGTGTGCTTGGTAGTGTCGAGGTGCTTGGTTGCCGGGGGTGGGCTGCTGGCTGGTCGGCGGTTGCTGGTTGTTGAGCGGATGGCGTGGGTCTGCTTGCTCAGCCAGGACAGGCAAATGGTGGTGGGATGGCGGTGCGTGTGGGGAAGAGGCGAATGCGGTGTCGGATGGTCGGTCGGTCGGCGTGCGTTTGAGGGGCCGATAATAGCTTCTTGGGCTCCAAACTCGATCTTAGATAGGGGTCAAGGATTGGCCAGTCGCCAGGCTGGAATGCTTGACAAGCACACAAGCTGCTATCTCTGTGATGCCGTGGTGAATGTGTTTTATGGCTCTGTGTGGATAGAAGTGGGTTTCTGATGGGTTGCTGATGTATTGCAGTCGTGTCGTATCCGTAGTTTCGTAGAAGGGTAAAGGAGGGCAGCCAGGCAGATGAAAGAGGTTCGATGTCAACGCAAAGATCGTGATGTTGATGGAGAAGGGTTCCAGTGTGCGTCTGCCAAGTTGAATGGCATTGAGAAGACTGGAGATCAGAGGAGGCTTGTTTGATGGAGCCGCGGAAGGAACGCAGTTTACGGATACCACTTGCTCCTTCCATTGTGGCATCTGCTCCTGCCTGTCTATTCGTTCCTTCTCTCGCCCTCGCTCTCGTTCTTGCCGTTCGTACCATTCCTTGCCCTTGCAACACCAACGGCACCTGCACCTGCCTGCACCTCTGACCTGCACTGGTTGACTGGATAATGGTGGAATCGTGGAGGAAAGGAGCCACCACGAACCTTTGGAGCCAGAGATGGCCTGGAAGACCCAAAATGCCAAGTTCAGCATGGAAGATTGGCGCGGAGGCTACGGCAGCTCCCACACCCTCAGGGCCTTCCTCATCCACGATACCACAACCCCGGCTGCCTACCCAGCGCAAGCTCACAGACACACCATCCAATCACGGAAGGCATGGCCTCAGCGTTGCTTCCAGCAAAGACACTTTGGCGGCATTGCGCGGTACGTACCCACCTTAGCGCAGTCTCTAGTGCTGGACGTGCTGGACTAGCGCTCGCAGCCACTAGACGGCCGGGTTCTGAACCAGCCAGACCCCCGCTTGTCGACGTCACCCAATCGAATGATTTGCGGGGTAATCAAACCAGCCGCCAGAGGTGGGAAAGAGCGACGGGACGTTTGACTCTCACCTGCACCTGCACTTGCACTTGCACTTTTGACTTCCATTGCACTTGCGAGTTGCACCTGTCTCTGACTGCTGTGGAAGTCACGCCGGTCGTTCGTACTCTCCCACTCTTCATACCCCGTACCATCCACACAGATGGGAGGAAGGAGCTGGGCTGCAGATGGAAGGATTTTAGCAAGGACTCAACACGGGAAAGAAGGGGTCCTCTTTACGTTCTCCGGGTCTCTGTTTCTCTGTCTCTGTTTGACTGCTTATGTCTCTCCCACCTGTCTCTGTCCCGGTCACTCAATTCGTTAGGTGTGCTGATCTTCTTGGGACGCATTGGGCCGTAATTATCCCATCGTTTCCTATCTGCATTTCCTGTCTTGCTTTTTGCCATCTTTGAACATCTTCTATCCTCCTCTCTTCCTCCTGCGTGTCCTCCCCCTTGCCCCCTCCCCTCCCCCCTCGGTCTTGCATCAGAACCGACCATCTGCGGTACGTACCCCACCACCCTTTCAACGCCCATTCAGCACCGGAACCACCACCGGGACCACCACCACAATCACTGCCAGACACCTGTGACTGCAAAGATTCCCACACAACTCGCATCTGCAGACTCAGAGACATTCATCCACCTCGCCCGCAGTTCACCACGCATACGGTTGCACTCAGCGTATACCAAGCTCAATGCAGTCTGCCTTCTGGACCACCAAGCACACACGCGGACACTTGACAAGACGTCCCATCTCGCGTGCCATCGCATGCTTGCTCTCGCCACTTTGGGCCGTCTATTGACCACCATGGGCCCATCCGCAGGCACCATCATCTGCCCATGTTTCTGCCACCTCAAACATCTCGAGCTTCGAAAAACGAACTCTGACTTCAGACCAGACGGGAAAGGCTAAGAGCTGGCTGCATCGTCTCCAGCATGTACAAGTACCAAACTTTTGTCAGCGGGAGCCATACTCGTTCAGACTACCAACCTTGATCACAGACCTGTTGTTACTCGACAAGCTCAAAGCCTATATTCTCCTCCTCTGAACCCAAGACCAAGACCCTGGAGGTCTAGGCTGCTTTGGAAGCTTTCCGATGCAAAAGTTGCCAAAGACGGTCACATCGAAATTCCCAATTCCCTCCTCTTCCGATCACATTTTCAACTCGTAGTACCTACGCTCGTGTCTCTTCGACCAACACGAGCAGCTGTCGTGTCACCATCCGGTCCTCCTTCAGTCACGTTTGGTGTGTTGTACGTAGACTATTGGCAACCAGGCTACCTTAGCTCGACATGCCGGAATTCGACGCCTCCTCCTTCTATCTTTGACTGCGTCCACTTGGCATGCAGACGGGCCCTAGCAAGTACTGCCCCGGATAGACAAACCATCCGTGAGCGACTTGCACACTGCTTCAATTGCCCTCCGCCGCTTGGACCAGGATGCATTTCAGGCGGCACGCAGGATCTCAGCGACGAGAGATTGGCGAAGCAGCCTGGTCTCTCAGCCGCTGGAGACAGGGACGTGGGCAGTGGGGGTTGGTTGGATGGCGAACAGTATCCAACTCCGTACCTTACGGATACAATGTCTTCTTCAACTCGTTGATGCACCACACCCGGCTACTCGAGTCAATAAAGTGGCCGAAGCAACGAAGCAATGAGGGGAACATGTTTCTTTCGACGCAACTTCACGACTCGCTACATCCTCTGTCTATGCACGCCTGTATCCCACGTCGAAACTCGAAGAAGAACTCTAGCACCGCACCTGGTACATCGTGGCACACATATTGGAACGTTTATCTTCTCTTTCTTCTATTGATGCTCTACCTAGATCCCACCCCTCCCGAACCCGTCATCCCTCCCCAAGCCAACCAGAACACCGCCGACCTCCCCGAACCCTGGTTTGACCAACCCCTCTGTTCAACACTTCCCCAGACTATCCACATCCGCAGCTCCCTTCCTGACTCGTTACTGGGATTCCCATCCGTCTTCGTCTTCAACAACGCTTGACTTGGTCTGCTTCCCCGCAAATTCCGGGTCTCAGCACCAGCGGGCCCCATTTCGCACGCGGATTTGGTCCTTGGCCAGATAGATCCCCGGCCTGCCAGATTAGCCCTCCCGCTAGCAACAGGACAACCGTGAACCGTTCTCTGGCCACGCAGTTGGCTTATCTTGGCAGCCAGTCCATCCTGTGCCAGCCTGCCCGGATTTTGCAACCGTCCCACGAGCCATGCGTCGTGTTGTGTCACGAGAAAGCTTAATGGTGAGAGGCTTGCTCCATTGGTGATGGCTACGTTGATCAAGGTCCAACATTTCTTTTGCCAGATAACACAGCACCGGCCACAGATTTTATTGCCACCTCTTCCGCTTGTTCGCTGCGCCAAAGCACCTGGCAAGCTACCACTGCAGGTCGCTTCCCGGAGGTCCGGCTCCGCGCCGCGGTAGTGTGAAGCTCCTGGTGGACCCTGAACTCGCGGCACAGCATCTCAACCAGCCAGCAACATGTGCAACAACGGTCATGCGCCCGCTTCTTCTCCAATTCCTGTAAGTTCTGTTACCCCGCCTTGTTTGAATCAAACTCCGAGGTGGTGGGCAAGAGTTCACTCGCAGGCCAATCTCGATGCTCTCTTATCTCTTGCTCAATTCGGGCTTCCCTGTCAGTAAGCATGGACTAGTGATGAGGGGTGACGAAATGATTGTCACCGAGGGTGATGTCAAGCGGTTGCGTAACCTCGCTAGGCTGTCAAGGAAGATGAGACCACAGAGATTGCCCAATCGTTACCGTGTGCGAGGGCATTAGTTCCCTCGAAGGAGGCCGTTGTCTCTGTTGTTATCTGTCAGAAGGCCTAGGTAGCTGAAGTACCCAAGCTGAGACTAGGCAATGGCAGGGTTGCAACACACCCAGGTGCCAGTCAGTCAAGCCAACTCTATTTCAATGGCGTTGGCAAGATGATCTCACCTTAGGAAGTAGATACCTATACTATCAACTCAGTTCCGGTTTGTAGTGAGTCCTTTCGAGGGAGTCTTGACATCCCCACTCCTCGTACACACTGTCAGATTTGACAATGATTGGGTTGCTGACTGAGTTCATGAGTGAGGTGAGTTCAAATGGCGCTAATGAGTACAGGTGTACCTATTCTTTCGAGGGAAATCAGCTAGATATATATACCTATCTCACCATACTTCCCTTGTATCCGCCTACAAGTAATTTCGAAACAGAGCGGAAGTTAGGGGGAAAAAACTGGAGGCGAGTTTACTGACGCAGAATGAGATAGCCAACTGCAATCTTCACAGGGGCTTGACCGGTCAGCGGGGCATGAGAAATGAGCGTTGCATGTGTGCTCTTGACCCTGTCGGCTTGAAGGAGTTCCAAAGGATAAGAGTTGGATTGATCCGGTTACGACTATACTTCATGCCACGCAGCTCTTGCACTTTGCTGATTTACAGAAAAATCGGCCTGCCTTGGTAGCTTTTGCAATGCATTATTCTAGATTGACTGAGACAGTAAGAGACAGTCGTTGCCTGCTGATGTGAGCTTGGAGATCTGTCTTCATTTTGCACAGCGAACATTCGTGACGTACGATGCAGGCTGTGATGGAATATATAGATTTAAACGTCGATTGATTCTGGTGACCATCAGTCAATGTATCTGGCCCATGACAAGCTGTTCGCGCTCTGTGATAGTTCACATGTGGACTTGTCGATCGTGCGCAGTGGAGTGATATCTACATTTTAAACGACTAAGTGTCAACCTGTACCTGTTGGCTAGAACATATGCTATCTGTTAGTATTTACGTCAGCAGGGCGAGGTCTTTCGGCCGTTATGAAGCTCAAAAGTCCGGGTGTGAACTGCGTATGTGTACGGAACGAGGAAGTTGTGGGCGTAACCCACGTTGCCCACGTTGGGTGTAAGTAGAGAGGGGCGTTTGTATAACCAAGACCACATTCCAAATCCATCTTTTCTACCATCAATAGTCTAACAATCATTGCTAGGATGCATAAAAACATGTATAGCATTTATGCACACATGGCGTTGAGATTATGTAGGAGTATTAAGCTTTGACTCAACATCGTTGTTTCGGTCCTCAAGTATTGAGCTAGGAATGATAGCATAGCTTAACTGTTCGTATGTAGTCGAATCTATGAAATACCACTTGAAACACGTTCTACTGGGCAAGTCACCCCCTTTGACTATGGAATCGGCAACATCACAAGCTGCCTGCCACCTAAGCAGCATCATTTAAGCAGCATCACTTTGAGCCATGATGTCCTTCATCGCCGCGAGTCGATCGCCCTTGATCTGGGCAATCTCCTCAGCCTCCGCCTTCTGCAACTTGGTCATGTACTGGGTGAACGCGTTTCCAAGCTTGAGGACCTTGTTGAAGTGGCTCGCGTCCGGCTTGACCCCCTTATCTTCCGCCAGCGCCAACGCGCTCCTGACACAATTGCGGATCTGGCGGCCGTTGAGAGGCTGCGAAGCCCAGGATTTAGTCACTTCGCTGCCTAGGGCTTTGCATTCTTCTCGTGAGAGAAGAGCTGGTGAGCCATCGCGGCGCTTGCGGCCGAGGTCTTGGATGAAGATCTTCCAGACTTCTTTGCGGAGGGGTTCGTCGAATTCTGGCATGCCGATTGTGATGTGGATTCTGGATTGGAAGGCTTGGTCGAAGGCGCCGATGCGGTTGCTGGTCAGGAACATGATGCCGTTGAAGTATTCCAACGTTCGGAGGAAGACTGCGTTTGAAGTCAGCACTTGGCCATGGTTCTGTTGAATCGGAGTTCGTAAGAAGACTTACTGGATACCAGCGCGTTTCTTTGTAGATTGTCGTAGTCTCGGTCCTGCAAGAAGATGTCTGCTTCGTCAAGCAACAGTATGGCATCCCATGCTACGGCATGGCGGAAGATCTTCGACAACTTCCCCTCGAGGGTCTCGGGGTCTGTCCCAAGATCTCCTGCGGTTACCATGTAAAGAGGCTTCTTGAATGATTCTGCAACGCACTCTTTTGATTTTATGTCAAAATCCGTTCTCATTAACCCGCCAAGGAACACATACCTGCGGTCAAAGTTTTGCCGACGCCTGGAGGCCCATGAAGAAGAATGACCAAGCCCTCGCCTTTTCCGTCAACAAGATCATGGAAATTAGTACTATGCGCGAGATAGGACTTGACCATAGCCCAGATGACTTCTTTGTACTCCGGTTTTAGGACCAGCCGCTTCCATGCATCGACTGCAAATTGCACAGGTTTGAAGTCGAGAACACGATACCAATCTTCATATCAGTTAGCTCTACTACGAAAGCGTATGATGCTTGCAAGGACATACCCCATCCTTTGTCACGGAGACTGAATCCACGTACGAATTGAGAGCAAAGCATGAGAGCCAGCTCATCCGGTTTAGTCGTTGGCGAAATGCTGTCGTAGTCACGAAACCAATTGCCCCGCGTATCTCCTACTTCTTCGGCCTCGGTTCGCATGGGGACATCCCCAGGCTCGTAACCTGTCCCGCCATTGTTAGTCGTCTGAGAAATATCAGATCCTCTTCCAGCCCTTTCGCTCCACTTTGCGATAGCTTCGCGTTGGTTGTACACGGTTGATGGAGCGCGGGGGAGCCGGCCTTCATCCATTGCACTGTCGACCTGGGTCTCCACAATTACTCTCATTCCAGGACCCCCGTCATGGCCACGTGCTTTGGATGTTACCAACTGTTGAAATCTAGATGTCGTTTTCATCTCCCAGTAGCTCTGACCTCGAGAGACTGCAAATGCCCTGACAGCATCTAGATCCTCCATGAATCTTGCCGGTACGTGACGTAGTTTTGCGATCCCTTTTCCACCATGGAATCGCTCCACGTTCCATACACAAAAGTTCTTAACGAAGGCGGACCGCTGCGGACTGTATTCAATTGACCAGCCATGTAGCATCAGCTGTCCATGGTACATTCCCGAGGATGCCGTGCTGATACTCGGGTAGTCGACGATGAAGCACACGGTCTCCAGGCCCTGAATTCTGACGAAAATGGGTTCGCCTGGTGTATAAAGCATCCAGAGGTCGTCATATTGGACAAGAGTGCTGGGACCGGCCGATTTCAAGGCCTCGAGTCTCGACCGGATTTCATTGAAGGTTGGTTTGAGAAACTCTAGGATCGTCTTAGAAATGGCAAGATTATGTTTTGAAGCTTTGGTATCATTGGCAGTTGTAGACGCTGGCGACGCTGTCGATACCTTCCTCTCGAACGCGTCTAAGCGGAGGAAAAGCGACACATACGGTGGATAGAAAACGATTCCTCGACCTGTCGCCTTTTCAGAAAAGGGGAACGGCTCGAGGCCCCTCAGGAAATCGCTAAATTCCCACCAGTCTACCTCTATTCTTTCTGGCCGGACTTTTCCGAATGCGTCCACATGATGGTAGAAAGTGACCTCTGGTATCTGGGCCGTATCGGTACGTTTCTCGTCTTCCGATGGCACGCCGACTAGCTGAACCGTTTTGAAGCGCCCCTGATGATCTCTGTATGATCTTAATGTGGCATGGCCGATTCCGACACCGAACTAGTACTCGTGAGACATGTATCGTGGAAGAAGCTATTGCGTTAACATACTTCGTTGATTTCTCGAGAAGGAGCGGAAGTATCAGGTTTCTTTCTACTTCCACTTTCATGTGTTGTCATATGAATCGACGGAGCTGGCGACTCATCAATCTCGCTACTGGGAGAATCTCGGTAACTGCGGTTTGTGCGCTCATCTGTTTCGCTAAGGCTGTGTGAATTGTCGGAGTGCATGGCGGCGGGTTAAGTCGGAGTTTTGTCAGTCAATGAGTCGTTAAAATCCAGAGCAAGCTTTCCAGTACCGGTAGATGGCCCATTGGCTATGCAAGCTGTTCGTTTATATCATAATTGCCTCTAGCTCGCCTAAATGCTCGCTCCGTAGGCGAGGCTACCGTCTGTAGTATGTTCTCGGCAGGCACAGCTTATGTGATTGCGACTATCTTAGTGAAAGACAAATGGAATCGACCCAACCAATCGATCAAGTGTGCTGTGAAGCAGTTTCTACCTGTAATATGGTGTGCGCATGTTGAAGCAGGCTTTGAGCAGCAGCCATCCTGCATCGTATGTCGTATGACACCCTATCAGGCCGCGTACTCCGTCACCTCTATTTCTACGACTCGTAATCTTCTCAAACCACTCATGTGTTGCCAAAAGCTCTCTAAATCTGATCCCTTCCTATTTCCCTCCGAGGACATGCCTCCAATATGGGCGAGCTGCTGCGTTCCCAACTTTTCAGTAGTTTCATTGGTCAGCCTGATTTATTGCTGCTACATAAGCTGCATATGTGCGCTGCACCCAGAACATGGCGCTGTTTAAGTGGGATCAGGTAGTCCAAGTCTTGCATATGTACATTTCAGGCAAATAGTACTTTGTGCTGCAATAGTACTGACGACAAGCTTGGCAGTCATGCAGATTACGAGGGCATGCACAGTGATTGATTAACCAATATCTTTCCTCAACTGGCCATTTCAATGCTCTCTTGAAGACATCGATTTGGCTACCCGTATTTCTCTCATAGTGTTTGTTATAAGGGCGTTTCTTAAAGCCATGTCTTTGATCGTGCACTGCTAAGAAATCTCATGGAAATAAATGTCGACCGCAACATGAGCAGCAGGCTATCCAGTGTCAGCGAGCCCTCAGACCAGAGTGGCTCTCTGAGGCGAACGATCAGGCTTGGCCATCCACCTGCAAAAACACTCTCCAGGCCACGACTTCGTGACGGGAAATTGAGTCAACTTCTCGAAAAGACTAAGCCACAGAAACGCCAATCCATGGATGAGGCAGAGCTAATAGAGTCTTTGAAAACGCTTCAAGGAACTCAGGTATTTGCGACAGACACGACACTATCTCGCACCCAAAATAGAACTACAGTCGACACGAACAGAAATGCGTGGGCCCTTGATGCGACCGCTAACCCATCTTTGAGAGACAAGTTCGAACAGCTGGGGTTGGCGGTAAGCGAATACAATATTGCTGCGTCTCGTGAAAAACGCGAGATTGTGATCAAAGATGGCTGCAAGCTTCAAGATGTACTAGCTCAGGCAAACGCCTTGCAGGAGGCCAGATCTACAAACAAAGACGATAAAAGCCTCAACAGCAGCATACAGGCAGGCTTGCAGCAATTTTGCAAATCGACTCTCCATTATGCTGCAGTCATGGATACACTGGCACAACATCATCCTGAATGGGTCAGTCTAGCTTGGGGAACGATGAAGCTGTTGCTCATGATTCCGATCGAGTACCAAAAAGTCAAGGAAGGTATTGTTACCAATCTTGGACGTATAGGGAGTAAGCTGGAGCTCGTGAGCCTACTGTTGTCTTTCTATCCAGTTGAGAGAATGACAAATGCGGCTGCGGCCATCTACGCGTCGATCGCAGATTTCCTGGCATTTTGTCTCCGGTACTTGCGTAGTAATTGTTTAGGTACAAAAACCTCCGATAAAAGCGTTATGTATTCACGTTGCTGATGATGCAATCTCGCCCGCCACCAGTCAAAACCTTCAAGACGATGGTCGCACCTTTCGACACCAGGCTCGGGTCCATTCTCAAGACCATTGACGAGAATTACACCATCCTGAGACAAGAAGCTGAAATTCAGTTCATGATATATCAGTTTCAACGATACTGCAGTATGCAGAGAGATCTATTTGAGATCAAAGAAGATCATGGGCGAATCATTGGAGTACTAGAAGGTACTATCGACATTAAGGGCCGATTCCAAGACCTTGTTCAGAGCTAATACGCCTAATAAAGAGATAATTCGTAGGGATGACATGGATCGAGAAAGAAGAAGCAAAACGATAGATGGTCAGTGCCAAAATGTCAACGCCAACTGGAAGTTCTAACATTCCTCTCAGCATCTGAGAATCTTGACCGGAAACTTCTGAAACCGCCCGAGCTCGAGATATGCGATGATTTCTTTCAGGACCTACTTCCCCTGGACGGAAATCTACATCAAGTCCATCTCCAATCAGATCTGCTACCAATGTCTTATTTGGTAGAGAGCCGCAATGTCCTTCGTCTTCCTTCATTCCAGTCATGGCTAAGCAGTTCAAAATCTGGTCTTCTGTGGGTAGATGGATATGAGATACCTCGCCGCCCTAGCTGGACGACGGACTTGTCTCAAAAGATTGTGCGTGCAGCTACGGAGAGCGGCTACGATACACTTTCGTATTTCGGGAGCCTACATCGAGGGAGTGACGACGATACACCAAAGCCGCGCGCTCTCGTACAGAGCCTGCTTTTCGGCATGCTTCAGAAGTTTCCAACAGTGACTTCACATGGCGATCCGAAGCTATTCAACGCCGAGATCTTCGTTGCTGCTAAATCAAACCTGGACCTTTCATGGAGAATCTTCGTGGAATGTCTGCGCGCTCTTCCATCTTCCATCATCTACATCATGATAGAAGGCGTTGATCACTTCAGCATGGCTGGGGATCAAGCTACCGATTTCGAATCTTTGCTGAAACGCCTAAGCACATTGTCAGCTGCTCTATTGGATGATAAAGTAGTCAAGCTTGCCTTGACGTCTGTTCGACCAAGCGCAGGATTTCAGCACCTGTTTCCCAACCTAGAGAGACTCGAGGTTTATCATGACCACAAGCTACTTATACGCGTGCCAGCTGCAGCCGCGCGAAGACGCAAACCCCGATCAAAGTTGCAGAAGAAGAGACAATCGCCCCTTTATTCCCCAGGACCAACGTTGGAGCCAGAACCGACTGATATGGGTAGCGACTTTGCCCCTTCTGACTCAAGTGTGGACAGAGGCGGCAATGTCAGCGACTCAAGCTCAGACTTCGATATCTTTGGTAAAGGCAAGAGGGAGATAGGCCGTGTGAGATCCTCTTGGTCAAGTCCGACTCCTGAACATGGCCGGGCGAGTCCTCTTCAACTTGATTCGGAGAAGAAGGCGAAGTTGACGGGAGAACAAGAGGCCGAGGATTCTGACAGCTCATTCGAAATATATGAGGCGCCTACTGCTGCGTTGCCTGACCAAAGCACAGCCAGCGAAGGAGACCTTTCGGATTTTGCACCATGAAGGAAGGCTAAATTCGGGGGTTTACGCTTTGTGGTCAAGGTATCAATCAGGCAAAGTTACTCGTGCTTTCAATGTTCATAGAGCCCGACTTCATGCTTTAGTTTACAGTTACTCGGATGAATTTTGTCGAACATGACTATCAACCAGAGAGAGTCAATAATCTGTTCTTAGATCCGTGCCATGAACAGTACTGTCCGGAAAGTCGTTAGATCTGCAATGACTTTTTACAAAGAACTTCTCCAGTCCTAGTGACAACACCAAGACGAGAAGATGCATGCGTCGGAAACGAGAGCGAGTTCGTCTTCCGTTTGATATGGCGCAATGATGAAGCATACTTAGTACTGCGCGTATTTCATGATCATGTGAGTAATCATCTTTCTCGAGATCCGTCTCGAACCCGAGACACTGACGCCGGCCACTTTTGATCAAGAATCGGCAGACTTACACCGAAGGAGATCTCCGAAAACCACCTCATCGAGCGCGGCGCGGCCTGTGGGTTGCTGCGGCTGGCCAATGACCAGGATGACCCGAGTTCAACATATTGACGCACCCATCTTGCCGGATTTCCGACCACGCGTCACGCCGGAAGCAGTAAGTTGCCTGACAAATAAGAAGGTTTGGTTTGATCTACGAGTAAACTTCGACTCAATTCTTCCCGCGTCGATGCCTTCACCAAATTGAGCGCCTTGCAGAATGACAGATGCGGAAAGCAGGCTGTGCAATCTTCGCACCTTGATGAGACCGTTGACGTGTGGCCTGTTCGTCATCTCCGAAAGACAAGGACTGCTTCTACTTTTCACTTGGGGAGTCTCACGACAAGCATCAACTAGTGCCGGGTATGCCCTCAAGCTTAGACGCGCATATTCAAGACGGACACTGTCTAGCGAAAACTCCGATTTTCCAGCTACTAGACCCATGCTGACCAACTGTATCAACGGACATTAACTTGGGCAGACCATCCCTCAGTGTAAGTCAATCGAGTAATGTGAGAGCAATGCATTATGATATGTGAGTCGTTATAGTGATGACCGCCCAGAAACTGATCGACGAACGACCTGGACGGGTGCAACATTGACGAGTCCTTGGCGAGGCCCGTCTTAGCGAAATTGTTGGGACGACGACGATCTTGTGAACAATTATCCGAAGACACGATCTTCAGACGATTGCCAGCAAATTTGATCCGTTCGGAAACCGCGTGGGACTCAATGTGGGATAGGTATTACAGTTCTCCCCTCCTGCCCCTTCATTACAATATGATGTGGAATGAGCGTCCCGGAGCCTTAATTCTCCAACATGGCTAAAACGACAATGAAGGGGAGGCTTAGCAGTTTTCGCACTAGTTGAGAGTTTCAAGCAACTTTTGAGACCCTGCTACTGCGGTAGTGCCGCTCTTGATTCATGTCACCAGAGCTTAAACTCTCCCTTCCCTCCACTTCCGGCAGGGGACAAACGCAAGGCGGAGAAAAGATGGAGGCCGGCCGAGGAGACCGCGGGCAGCGTGTTTACAAGCCTCGTGCTTCCATATTACGGATAACGGAAACGGCATCTTTTGCCTTGCTCCTCAGCACATGCAGGGTCCGTCCCAGTCTTGAGATCAGCCCACCAACGAACCTGAGACTCGGCGAACTTTGTTTTCCTCGTTGGGCTGGCTTGATTCCAGCCCTTTGGCAACCTCTCTGCACGCACGCTCTGATTCTGGATTGACTCTGGGAAATGTAATCACCACGTGTGGACATGTAGTGATTATCGGCTGCCTTTCTAAGAATCGGACGCCGCTAAGGTACCGAAGGGGACGGAGCGTAATATCTTCAGCTTACTTTCGAACTCATCAAAGAAGTTCAGTTTTCTGAACCAAATGAAGAATTGTGATTCATGTTTCCCTTTGCTTCTTTGTGTCCTGTTGAGCAAGTCGACGCGAAACAACTACTGAATGACGAGGCCGACATGTCTTGGCGTCTTGACTGATCTTGCCAAGCCACCAAACATGTTGCCTCGAAATCGGGTCCGGTTGCTCAAGCGATTGGCAGATTGTTTATAGAAGCAAATGAAACCTGCTCATCCGGCAGGGCGATATATCGGACTCCGAAGCACCAGCCAGACGAGTCATCGACACAAGAAGAAGGCGAGTGACCACTATGCGAAATGATCAGACTTGTAGCAGATGGTCTGAAGGCCTCTAAAATTCGGCAAAAGATGAAGTAGACCTGACACTCAAGTGAAGAAAAGGATGGAAGTTAGGAGGAGTAATGCTAGGTCCAGACCGAGGGAACAGAGCCGAGGGTTGGATGAATTTGGTGTGAACACTCGTTCTCGCCAAGAATTGTGACTGGCGCTTGTGGTAGAACGCTTCCAACAACTGGATGGAGATCTTCAGCCGTCTGTCGGTGCCAGTGATCCATGGACCAGCTTCAAGAAGAAGCACTCGAGAAGCTCGCGCGATGGGAACGATTCCGGTTGGTGTCTTGACGCATTGAGCAGAAAATTCGTATACAGAGCAGCCCCAAGGCGAGCGAGGTGAAACGCGATGTGCGGCGATCCCAGCCAGCGACTGGCTCAAAAGATCAGCCCAAAACACATGCGGGTAAACCTTCTTCTCCTTCGAATCCACCCCAAAGCTTGTCTCTCTCGGTTCAGACATCAGACGGGCCGGGCGATGCGCGCGGGGTGACCGTTGTGGACACCCACATTGTGAATTGAAGCTTCACCCGAGAGCGAAACGACCCCTGAAAGCATCGCGATGACTGGGACTGAGTTGCTTCCCATCGTGCGGCGGACAGGGTCTTCGGCGTACTCGGACGAAGTATGTTCGCCTAATCGTTTGAGATGACGACGCGATGGAAACTGGGTGTAAGTGGCCGTGTCCGAATTTTGCTCGGAAGGTTGGGCTATATAATTCAATCAAAGAAACTCTCAATTCTGGCTTTTGGATCATCAACTCAGCCTCTTTCCAGTTCATCAAGTCCTACTACTAAAGGCTCTTCACCCTCTACATTCTTTACATCATATCACGCCTATCACTTAGATCACTAAACACTATTATTCAAGATGCGTTACACTCAGCTTCTCCTCTCTCTCTTCCTCCTCTTCACTTTCGTCATTGCTCTGCCCGCGCCGGCGCCGGTAGAAGCCGTCGCTGCGCAAGACGCCGCCGACAAGAACAAGAATAAGAATAATAACAACAACGGAAATAAGGGCACTAAGACGAAGACCAACAACAACGGCAACACCAACAAGGGCCAGACCACCAAGGCCACGAAGAACGGAACCGGAGGAAACACCAGGCCTACCGCTGACGAGTGCGCTGCTGCCAAGAAGCTGGCTACTGGTATCGACAAGAACATCTCCATCCAGAAGCAAGAGCAGAAGGATGTCGCTGCTGTGAAGAAGGCTGTTCAGTCTGGGAACAAGGGTCAGTTCGACCAGGCTAAGACCAAGCTCGTCGCTACTGTCAAGTCTGGAGCGGATGTCCGCGCCGAGAACCAGAAGATCGCTCCCAAGGGTAACGCCGCAATTCCGGGTCTGAAGAAGGTACGTTCGGACTTTTACCCCACACAGTGAAGCGGTAAAAGACAGCAATCTGACAAGTCATTATAGGTCCAAAACGCACAGGCTACCGAGTTGAAGCAGGCTCAGGGTCTCACGGGCAACAACGCTGATCTGGATACCATCGCCCAGATGGAGAAGGAATTCTCTGGAGGTATCGACCAGAACCAGCAGAACAAGAAGGATGCTCTTAAGGGTTGCTAAGCATTTCAAGACTGAATATGCTTGAGGACCGAAGGATAGGCTGCACGTCACTGAGCAGACTGAGGTTGGGAGCAATGGATAGCGTTGTATATGAAGGATTCTCAGTAAATATATAGTGAATGAAGCCAGTTCGGTACACTTTGACTTTTTAGTGATGGGTTCACTCCGAATTTGAAACATTCGAGTGCTTCGATACTTCTGTTCTAGTACGGTGGTATCATTCTCCTGCAATCACCTTGAGCGTGACCTGATGCCGACTCATGCCAATCGCTCAGGGGCTTCAATACTTGGAAATTTGGAGACTGTTAGCTTGAGGCTGTTAGTTAATGTGATATAGGTTAGTATCATTGTACGAAGGCCAACAGGCTTTAACATGTTGCCCTCGCTTCGAGGTGTTTAAGATCATGATACTTGTCAAGTTGTATGAGATGTTACTCACGGCTGTGCCGCTGTAATCGACGAAAGAATAACCTTCGGTGATTGTATAGCTTTTGACGGAGGTCTTCCAAATTTCTCATTACATGTTTGACTTCTCTCTGTCTCTGCTTAGCGTTGTTCAGAAGGAAGTTGATGCTGCTGTGCAGAGGCACATCTTCGAACAAAGTGGAGGCGATGCTGGATACTGTTGTACCTCTTCAGGGTAACATAAATCAAATTTGATGCAGCCGTGGCCTCTAGGATTATTGAACACAGTCAAATTCCGGTGCATAACTCTTAAATAACGCCGCTTCTTGAACGAGAAGACCAAGTTGCTGAGACGATCACTAGCATCGAAGCAGAAGCTGCAGCATTGGGTGCACCTATTGGTGCGATTCTTCAAACTTCTACAGCCAAGATTAGCTGCTGGTAGGTTGTCTACTAAAGCATGATAATGTACACAACATATGGATAATGGTTTGTTACAGATGAAGACTCGAAAGCTTCTTCGAGAGCCCCTTTCGGAGAGGGAATCCGCCATAGCAAAAGTTGACGCTCTGAAGCAGCCTTACTTCGGTGACACTCAACGTTAAACGGAGTTTTCTGGCAAGATACTAGAAACGAAAATCCAGTCTATCATGTTCAAAAACGAGGATGTAAGCTTTCTCCCATCGTGAAGAAGCTCTATGTCTGATCTCAGAACTTATTGTAAGGTAAGTGCTCATCTCGGACTTGGTGAATCCACAACATGATAGAACGGATATTCATTCGTCATAGGAGATTATAAAGCTAGCTATCTAGATTGGCAAGGGGCACGCATTTTGAAGTTTGATCACTGATCGGCATCTCATAAATGTATCTCATTGCACGTCGAAACAGAAAGTTGAACTTACCTTTGGGCACTGGATAAATCTTATAACCTAAGCCTAAGTTGAACGAGATAGGTATCTTCGTTCATTTCTCCAAATGCAGTATTGAAATAGTATCGAAAGATGTGATGTCATCACAAAATCCACTGGCGTAGGCGAATGATTTCTCGCCGGTCAGGCTGATTGCCTGGGTTTGAATTTGAAAGTCGGCTCTTAGAGAACGCGATTGATTAGTGAGTGATGCCTGGCGACGTGAAAACTTCCGTATATAGTTGCTTTGAAACCAAGAATGATAGCTTTTGAGGGCGTAGACTCCAGCTTGCTGTTCCACAAGTAACTCTAAGCTGTGGCCATATGGGAGACAGCTAGTCACCATCCATGCAACTCGAGACAGCAGAACGTGCCGTGAAAATGTCAGTATTCAGCTTCCTTAAATTTTGACACAATCAAGATTTGTTTATGTTGAAATGGACTTAGCGAGAGTAACAGGTAAAGCTAGCTTGCTGAACAATCCTACCTCATACATAAGGATATAAAGCTCGGAGGCTTGTAACGCTGAACGAACCTGCTATACTGACTTTGTCGCGAAATAACTTCCGCGCGCAGCCGAAGTAGTTTAGATATGGCCAAAATCGATGCTTGTCTGCTTCAAATCATTAGAGGGTGCATTGTAATACCATGAGCCTTTCAGTCGTGGAGGGTCACCAGGTATTACTACACTTCCAACGCCCTTGGCAGGCAGAAAACCTTTACCCACATCACGCATCATCATCAAAGTTTTTTTTCATTGAGTACTGAAACAAAGGGGGCTAATATGGGGGTTAATATGTGAACAGTCAAGATTCTCAGTCTCTCAAGTGCCTTGAAGAACCTTCCGCCTGAGCTCGGAATGCGACTGGTTTAGACATGGACGCATTGGCGCTCCGCTGAGCGCCATCAACAGGAATGCCCTCGCACCGTCGGGATAATCTTCCATCTTCCTTCGCTTAACAAAAAACCATCCAATGTCTGCAATAAGACATCATCTATAGGTATACAAAAAATGCCGCGCGCGAAAACTTTCAATTCAGACTAAGGAAGCCTGGAAACAAAAGCGCGCAGATTATCTACTTGCCGTGTTCCCGAAGAAACAACACTTACATTATTCAGGGTCAGCAAACTTCGCCGGATCGCCTAGTAACCGTCTATTCAGGATGCCAAGTGCCGTGTTCCTGAAAGACAGCTCGGGCAGTTGCGGGCGGGAACGAACTCTCTTCTCTATCGGATGGACGTTGCGAAGAGAGTCATGGCTGTCTTGTTGGTAAACTCATCAATTCCCAGGGCCCTCCTCTCTACTCATTTCTGCGAAATTCCACCGAAAGGTAACACTTCTCCGCACTCCCCTCAAAAAGTCCGCAATAGCAGTTTATGCGTATGCGCCGTGCCTTCAAGTGGGCGATGGTTGCGGGCAAAGTCCACTAATTAGGCTTTTTAACTCGGTTTCTTGCGAGCCTAACCGGGTTGCGAGGGGGACAGTCTGCTGTCAATGCCAAAAAAGGGGGCATCTTATTTCCCTGAGGAGTCATGTTTCTCTCTGGCTTTTGCTGACGCTCAAGGGAGGCTGGTCTTGTCAGCAGGGGTCTGGAAGCACTTTGTCCCCCCCTCACGTTAGAATTTCTCGCCTGCCAACTCTGACGCTCAGGAGCTTGCAACTTGGTGCAGTCCGGCAGTCGCAGTTTGGTAGGTGAGTGATCGCCTCCTCATAGCGTAACATTCCTGGCTGGTAATCTGCTTAAGATAGCCTTATGACTCGCAGATCTCTCACGTAGGAAGTTGTAGACGACTTGGCGTTGCTTGAGGTCCAGGGCCGATGGGCAAGGGGTTCTGCCCCGTAGCGCACCCAGAATAAAGACCCCGGCCGCCGAGCCGGAGATCTCGTCCTCAACTAGTGGCCGGATTGCTCAAGACTTGGGGGCGCCGCCATGGCGCGCCGTGGCGTTCCGGAGCACCGGTTCACTCATACCCACCATCCCGATCTTTCGCGGTTCCAACATCCAAACTGACGGCTTGGCACTGCGTTCAGCGCTTGGTGTCGCCCCGATTATGATAGCTCGATGACTCGAGAATAACCCAAATTCCCAAATCGCTCTTTGCTTGAACTCTGCACAAAGTGCCGGTTCTCGTATCTCTCTAAGGATTAAAGTATTGGTTCCCTCTGAGCTTCTCGCTTTCTTGCTGCGCGAACGCCCGAACCCCCAGACAGGGTTTGTCGCAGGTTTCGCGAGTTGTGACCACGTCCACAACCGTCCGCACCGGAAGCAGAGCGGCTCAAGAACTTGCGACGTTTCACCCGCGTGGATCCCACCAAGCTTGTCTTGCTTTCGTACCTGGAGAGCCTCAATAACGCTTGTTTCGCTCCAGGGATCACCCTCGGCTTATTTCCAACGATGGCAACTTGCAGTTGGTCGTGTGCAAAGAGAAGAACGGGGTACCACGTTAGCTCCCGTGGTTCCGGCCAACGGTTAGCCTCCGCAGACCGCAAGGATTATGGGAGGATGGCTTGGAAGCTATGATCGCCGGGTCATCAGCGTCGGATCATTGACATCTCTCTGTCAGCGACAAGGATCACATCGTCGTCGGGCTGAGGCCGAGTTGTGGTATTTGTAGTCGCAAGGCCGCCCATCTGGCCTTGACGCTGCATCGTCCGGTCTCTGCTCGCCTTGTCTCATCATTCATATCATCGTGCTGGTCACTCGTTTCTTTCAATCTTGTCTAATCCAAAATACTGTCCTTTATTCAAAAACCGCGAGACTACCTGCACTTCCGCTTTCACAGGCCGATAAACAAACATCCCAAGTAATTACTTCAAGATGCGCGCTTCAATCACTGCCGCCACGGCGCTGCTCGCCGCTTTGGTTTCTGCTCATGGCAACATCGTCTCGCCTCCTGCCCGTGGTGTCGGCGCCGCAATGGCTGCAGCGTGTGGACAAGCGAACGTGAAGGCCGTGACGGCCGATCCCACCATTCCCTTGGAAGACTTCACCAACCCTCCTGCAACATGTAAGCAAGCCTATGGTACATGAGCGAATGACCCAAGTTACTAACACTCTACCCAAGGCCAACTTGATCTATGCAGAGGAGCCAAGTTCGAGGACAACAAGGCCAATGTCCAGACCTTCAAGGCTGGACAGGTCGTCAACATGAAGGCCGAGATCCCGATCCCCCACGAGGGCCCCATGAATGTCTCCATTGTCGATACCGCAACCAACAAGGTTATCGGACAACCTCTCATCGTCTTCGACAGCTACGCCGACGAGAACCTCGCGGCACTGCCCAAGAACAACACCGACTTTGACATCACCATGCCCTCCAACCTGCCCGCGGGCACCTGCGCTCAGGCTGGCCAGTGCGTCGTTCAATGGTTCTGGGTTGGCACTGCGGCGAAGCAGACATACGAAAGTTGTGTAGACTTTGTTATGGCTTGAGCGATTAGAGTATTGTCGCCTAGTTATAGAGCAATGGGAGGTTTTTTGAGCGCGTTTGAGCACGTAGATCAGCATCGCATCCCTGTGAATGCTGTACCATTTTGAAGAGCTTTTTTTTATTACACTTTAATTGTCCATGACAAGGAATGCGAAACACTTTATTTCCCCTTGATGTAACAAAGCTTCGTGGCACCACTATTGTATGTGATGACTTTGTCATGGACGATCAGTCACTCATGTTTAAAAATGACATCAAGACGTCCAATCCCCAAGTAATAGGTCGAGCGGCATATTTTCCATGAAGTCTATGGAAGACTCATTGAGCAGCATCCGCAGGCTTGGGTCCGCAGCATCGTCATCAAAAGCTGGTTGACTTTCACTATAGAAGGCAAAGTCGTTCTCACTCGGCAGATCAGCAAAGTTCTGGGTCGGCGCGACAAAGTGGGACGCCGCCGGTCTCGCTTCAGCCTCATCTAACATTTGAGGAACCACGGATTGGAAGTAGGCTTGATCCAATCCCAAGTCCAATTGCGGTAGAAACTGGAACTGGTTGTGGATGCGATCCAGCATCTCCAGACATCGTTTCGCCGATCTGCTCTTCTGCGCCAAGGTCTTTAAGCAGGCGCGTGACTTGGAGACTGAGTGCTGCCATACAAGTCTGTCGGTTTGGTCTGTGGAAGTGCTTTTGGTGAGATAGTTTGCTTCCAGGACTAGAGTGGCCTGGAAAAGAAAGTATGTCGCGTACCACACGATACCCTGGTGTAGAGAAACTTCATTCGCCATACAGAAAGTAGCAATATCATGAATGCTTTGCATAGCAACGTTCAGGCACTTCTCTTCCGCCTTCACTTTGGTGGGCAGGTAGCTGTGGTGTTGCTGACTGCCGCGCCAGAGGAGAATGCGAAGGTTCTGCTCTTTCCAGAGCACGACCGCTCGAGGCGCCCGGAACCACGATGGGCAGTCGGTCTGGGTGAAATATGCGGGCAAAGCTTGTTGCCAGCAGTTGAGATCTCGGTCCATTGTTTCGGCGACTCTGTATTCGACCTTTGTTCCGGCGGTTTTTGCCAGTAGAAACTCATGATACACAGCATCAGCAATTTTGGCTAGCTTTGCTTGTGCGATAATTGCTGAGTAGGTAGTCGGGTAATCAACTGGTCGTGATACCGGTGCCTTGAGTGGCAGTTCCTGAAGGAATGAGCCAATAGGAATCAAAAGGATCGAACTTAGAAAGACAACATACCTTATCGTCGATGTTTCGCGGAATCCGGGTATCTATGAAATCTTCCGACATCGCGGGCGGTCTTCCGGTGGTGATGTTGAACCCGCTCTCAAAACAGTAGATAGTCCAAAAGAGCTGCCGTCGCCGCTCATGTCCTAAAGTATCCTCTAATGCTGGAGGTTCGCGATGAAGACCTAGTCCTAGCGCCATTCTGTACGCTAAACCGCTGAAGTTATAGCCAGTATTGGTCCTATCTCTCTTCTGTAGGTAGTTGCTCATAAGCAAAAAGGCCTGAACTGTCTCGATAGTGCCGGACTCAAGCATCTGAAGAGACAGACTGGACCGCGCTGCGCTGTAGTAGCTCGACTGCAGATGCTCTGACTCGGTACTGGAGAGCCAGTGGCCGATGGCCAAGACCATTTGATAGACGACGCGCCATGGTGAGTTCGTGAGCCGCTGACGACGCCCTGCGTCAACCCTTTCTCTGAAAATCCGCTCGTGAAGAACCGGATAGGAGGTGTTGTAGAGTAGGAAGTAGGCATCGATTAATCGGCCAGCGATATATGACGATGGCAGATCGAAAGGTTCAGGTACCGCAAACCCGGCTGAACTGGACGATCTACGTTGTCTTTTACGATGTGATGTGTGGTTGTGAGTGGCTGGATGCGCAACGTGGATCACGGAGTCGATCTCCCCAAGCAACTGGGAACCAGAACTGCTCCCTAGAAGTTGACGTCAGGCATCGCTCTTCGGTCAACTGTCCTCCGCAGGCCATTCTAGAACATGGCTAGGCTTACCTAAGTAACCAGAGTCGTGGGTTGGTAGCATGGCCATTCCGTCATTCTCGTGGCCTGAAGATTTGAACTCTGGCGACAGCGACCCTTCGTGCCATTCGTAGCTATGAGGTGTGACTTCATCCGAGTCTCCCAGCGGGGAATGTAACGAGCCGCTTCCGTCATCATCTTCATTTCCTACTGACTCCTGCTGGTTCTGCGTCTCTCCGAGGGCTGAATTGATGTCAAGCTCCGGGTTCAAGGATCTGATGAGATTCTGGAGCTGCTTGCACCGGAGCTCGGCTGCGTCGAGGTTCTTCCGGGTCAGAGGCGTCCGATCAGGGGGCTTCTCAAAGCTGCACGTCTTGCCTGTTTTGGCGCAGTAAGAACATGGGTCGTTGGCTGCGCTGCCTCTCATGCATCGGCTTTTGCGCTTCTGGCAGTTGACGCAGGCCCGGACGGTGCTTGGATTGGGACATCGGCGGCTAGAGTTCGGCATACTTCGTTCTTCAAAGTTCAGTCCCTGTCATGAATAGTTCGACTCATGTGGAACATCGGGGGCCAGAGGGCCGAAATTGAGCTCAAATATGGTTTATCGTCTCTGCAGAAATCTCTCGAGGCTGCGTGGGACATCTCAGGTCTCTTTGGAGAGTCTTAAGATATTATCAAGCTTGCATACGCCTCATCAGACAAGTTGTCAAAATCCGAACTTTGCTCTACCCCTCAAGACGTTGTCCTCGGAGCACAGTCTCCCGATGTACGCCACTCAAAAGCCACAAATGCGGGATGAATTGCGGGGGAGCTGGGTGGGGAATACGGCTTGCTTCACAGACCATCCCAAGAGAGACGGACATTGCCAAGAGCTTTAATGATGGCCCCGTTTGTATCAGCAGATTGCTTCCGCCTCCCAATATCATAGTACGCCAATATTGTCCGTGAACTGTAGAAAGTCGGCGAAGATGGCTGCGTAGATCAAATAGTGTCAGGCTTGTTAGACTCGAAGTGCGACCCAAATCTTGCCATCTTCCTTGTCACGATTCTATACTAGGAACGTGACATGTTGACCATCAGGAACTGTTGGGGCGGGAACGTGCAGAGTGTTTTAGATATTCTTTTCATTAATATTAATTATTGCTTGATATTTGAAGTCTAGAGTCAAGAGTCTAAGAAAAATTAAGGAAATCACCCCCTATCACTAAAACGCCACGCCATCTTTCTAATGTTGAGATATGAAACCATAAAGAAGTTGGTTGCTCGATTCGCTTATGCAGGGATAATGATCAAATCAATGATAGTGCAGTAGCTGAGAGGTGCAGTCGCGGTGGAGAAGGCGTAGATGTGCTGGCCAGAGCCGGTGTTGCCATCGCCAACCTTGCTCGCCTGGCGGATGCAGAACTGGTAGGCCTTGCCATTGGAGTTCATGAAGACTTGGGAGTTGCCGTTGGCGAGGGTGGTGTAGGAGAAGATCTTCATGGCGCTGCTCTTGTTGTTGGACCAGTAGAGCAAGCTATAAGTGGACGAGGTGTCGATGTAGTAGTAGGCGTTGTGAGTGACAGAGTAGAGGCTGCCATCTGCGGCCACAATGAAAGTCTCACGGCTGCCCTGCTTGTACCAGTTGTCGGTCATGTGGGTGGCATCGTCGGACAGGGCGTACTGGGAGTTGGGGTTGACGATGGGGTTGAGGCTGAGGTAGCCGATGGTACCAGTAGGAGCGCTGGCGGCGACGTTGATGGTGGTAGTAGAAGTGACAGTCTGGACGACGATGACGGTGCTGGTGGCTGCAGTGGTGGTGCTCAAAGCCGCGCCGCTGGTGATAGTCTGGACAGTGGTAGCGGAGGCGGTCATGGTGCTGGTTACGGGGGTGGCGAGCAGAGAGCAAGCAGAAGAGACGACATCGGCTGGAGATAGCAGTTAGTATCAAGCGGGTTGAGACAGAAGAGAATGAAACATACCAGAGAATCCGGAAAGACCAGCGGGGGTACCATCGCGGCGAGCCTTTCTAAGAGTGGTGGTGTTGGAAGGAGTGACATCGGGAAGGGCAACAACATCGACGAAGTTTCCGTCATCATCCTTGGTACCGTTGACGAGAGGCTCATCGCGGGCCCAGAGACCACGTCTGACCTTGATGGAGTGGTCGAGGGGAGTGGGATCATCGTGGAGGCAAGTAGTAGTGGGACGGGGAGGCAGGTCACGCTTGAGCTGCTTGGTAACGGCAACCAGCTGGGTGGTGGTGCTGTAAGAAGTGGTCAAGGGAGTGACAGTCGAGACGACCGTGGTGGCAGGGATGGTAGTGAAGTCAGTCTCGGTGGCGGTGGTGACCGGGGTCGTGTAGCCGAGGAGAGAAGAGCAGTAAGGCTGAAGGCTGGATGTGACAATGGCAGAGCTGGCACTGGCGATGGCGCAGGGGATTCTGGGCTTGCCGGCGTCCGTGGCGTTGGTGTAGGAGAAGCTGTAAGAGATGGTGTAGTGGTCACTGCCGCGCCATTGGCCGTTGTTGACGGCATAGCTGTTGTCCCAGGACTTGGAGTACAAGGAGCAGTACTGTCCCTCGGGAACTCCATTCTTCAAGACGAAGAAGGTGTTGAAGAACTGGCAAGTCTGAGCAGGGGCGTTCGCGGGAGGGTGAGCAACGTTGTACTCGGACTGAGCGGTACAAGCAGCAGCGCAGAGCTTAGGATCGAAGGGGCCGTCGGTGAAGATCTTGGAACCCAAGAAAGTGTCGTATCCAGCGCAGTCGAGGGGAGCGTTGATGGAGTTATCTCCCAAGTAGACGGCGGAGCTGTAACCGGCCTGGTCATCGGCACGCTGGGCAACGTAGCCGTTGGATCCGGCAATCACAACCTCGAACTGGTTGCGCCATTGGCCGCGGTTGGTCGCGGTGTTCTCGTAGACGGGACCACCCCAGAAGACACACTTGATGACATTGGTGCTAGCCGGGTTGGGGCAGGCATCGGCGGGTTCCTAGATGGGGTCAGAGTCTGGTTGCTTGTGTTGATTAGGTTTAAGACTTACAACAGAGGGATCACGCTCGAAGTAGATGTTGAAAGCAACACAGCCGTTGATGGCATCGCACTTGGAAGCGCAAGCCTGAGTGTCGTAGCTAGTGAGGGTAGTGTAACCCATGTAGCCATAGGCGCTGCTAGATCCCTGCAGGTTCTTGAAGGTGTTGAAGTAACCAGAGGGAGTGGCAGCATTGTTGGCAGCCGACGAGAGATCTGTGTCGCTCAGGAAAGCGGCCGAAGTGTCGGGGTTCGAGACGGGGCCGTATCCGACGGGCTGAATCTCGCAAGCGGAGCGCTCAACGAGGCGCTTCTTCTCCGACTTGACAGGCGCAGTCTCCTGGGGAAGCGGGCTGGCCTTGACCTCGGCGACGACACTGGCGGCAGCAGCGTTGGCATCGTAAGGAACGACGGTCGGGGTAGCACCAACGGGGACGGTGGTGTGAGGCGGCTCGGGAGCATCGTCAATGACCTGCCAGACAAGGTCTTGGGCCTTGGCGAGCGCGACAAAGGCGCTGATGATAGGAGCAGAGCGCATTTTGAATGATCTCTGTCGAACTGGAGAAGTCGATCGAAAGAAAGAGCTTTCAAGGATCGGAGCTCAAGGTGTTAAGAGAGTGAAGAGGAGCGAAGAGGCTTGAGTTGACTGATGAGATATTTCGTCGATAATGGCGGATATCTCAGTTCTTTATGTACTCATCCCACGAGGCCTCTGACCTCGTAGTCTAGCCAATGCTTTTTGCTCTTCCGTTGGCCAATATCGCACATGCGACGACAACAGTGCGCAGCTCTCTCCACGGCTCGCTTCATCTTCACGATGCATACAATAGTGTTGATGCTGAGTGCTCATTTCCACATCACGCGGCCGGCAAGAAGCGGTGGACGACTAGGCCCGGAGCTGGACCACGGAGCTGTACCATGGGATTGGGAAAGGCGGCCGTGTCTTTTTCGCTCTAAAGGCCCTTGCTCCCCTGCTAGACAGCATTTCCAGACTGTTGGTAACAGATTCTGGACCCCTAAGGCCGCACAGATGGCTGTATTGGGCTTGAGTCGCTGGTGTTCTTGGGTCAGGTCGATGATAGATCCACGTGGGTTGAGTGTGTAGCCGCCTTGCCCGTTGCTAGATTGAGGAATTCAGCTCGCAACGGGAGGTGTAGCTGAGAGTCCACGGACCCAAAACAGCAGATTTTACCTAGCTCAACCCCTCGTGCCTGGTGGAGATCCCCAGCTTGCGGAGGAGTCTGGACTCGGGTGTGCAGGGGTTGACAGCAGGGGTAACGGGCGGCTGACGATCAATAGTCCAGCAAAGTGGTGAGAGACCGCTTGTTGACCTATGATGTTGCTTCGGCAGATGAGAAAATTTGAGGGACAGTCCCTGACTACTCTGCATCGTAAGGCGCTAAGCGAGTAGACGCCATGCTTTTGATATGTTAGTCCTACGGTGTTACCGACGGAACGGACGACGAGGATGCGCTGTGCTCCTATCGCATGTCGCCGATCAATCTATTGAGCAGCTAAGACCAAAATAAGCTTCCTGGGAAACCCAAAAAGATGGGAAAGCGATTATCGATGTGGTTCCACACAAGTGGATGCCGGGGAGAAGTCTGGAACAAAGAAGTGCACAGCATAACATGCCTAGGAAACATTACGCGATCTTCCCGCTCGGATTTGCCCATGAGTATTCAGAGGCATCCAAATTTTCCGGTGCCTCTCGACTAGAGTAGCATTCGATTGAGCTGATCAGGTGAATTTCAGCTTCGGGTACATTACTGTGTGTGCCACAAGCTTCACTGTTATGAGATTCTCGGCCAGGAGTTGGCCTTTAGGAAAGAAAATGCCTCAAAACATCTCATGACATGTGTTCATATTGTCAGTTGACAGGGTGTTTCCGGTCTTGCTCTTCGATGAACCCTCACCTAAGTACATCGAAACTTACTACATTTTCGATCTTACATATGAGGCCATCCGAAATCTAAGACTTTGCTCAAGACTGAACTGTTGCGATGATGAAGCAGAAGCCATGCATCAATATTACCACAGCAGTTGCCACTCAAAACCGCAATCTTTGTGCAAAGAAGCGAAAAAGTAGAAGTGAAGTTATCATGAGGTCCAGAAAGGGCAAGGTTCGCGCCGATCGTGGCGCCGGTCTACACTAGACTGCCGCGAAAGCGAGTACGGAAGAAATTTTGCCGATCTCGACTCTGATTGCACGGATGATGAGTCGAAGCCAGGTACTAGCGCGACTAGTGGTAGTCCGGCTTAGCACTTGTGCCCAAGTAGGACTGGACCCAAGTGTTCCTGGCTTCATGGACTTGAAGGCGTCGCCATCTTCGGGAGGCCGCGCGGTCGCTTCCGTCACATCCGCTTTCACAAAAGCCATGTTGAAATCGCCTACTTCCGCCTCCTGAACGGTTTCGCGGCTTTTCTCGCTAAAGTTTGAACGACTCTGATCTCGCTTCACACACAACTACGAAGGACAGCAGACAGCGTGCCGCTATTGCTCGCATGTATGTAAGAACGTGAACGACTTCGAGGGAAAGCACCGGAACGAGCCGGCTTACCTCCCTTACCTTTGCTTCATGATTTTTTACAAAATTTTGTTGTTCCCTTTGAGTGCACGAGCCCAGATAGAACGCCGAGCTCGGCACCCACTCCCGCCCTTCGCCGTTTCGACTTGGCAGCCTAGAATCTCGTGGCTTGAACTGTCAAGCCACAACGCCTGATGAATAACGCAATGAGGAATAGACGCAATTCCATCGGCAGGGGCGACAATATTGTGGCTTGCTGTCAAAGTGCTAAGCCAGAGAGACTATGAAGTACGACGGACAAAAGCCTCCAGTCTGTTGTATGCCGCGCGTATCGATCGGCATCTCGATGATGAAGGATTAATCCAAAAAAGGTGAGGTCTTCACAAATAACATAACGCTCGAAAAGGGCCAGTGCGCGCAGCATTGCATTTTGTGACTTCCTAAGTTGCATGCCTGGTGTCCAAAGTCGCCATGTTGCGGTGTGGCTTGGATCACAGGCAGAATCGGATAATGAGGCATTAAGGGGTTGACGATAGTTACCATAGAACAAATTGGTTTTATCGCCTAGGAAATATGTGTTTTAGGGGAGTCCCTCATTAAGTTCCCAACGGAATACTTCTTTCTTGCAAACCCATGAGGTGTAATGGGCCATAACTTAGCCTCTTCAACCTACCATCATCTAGCGAATTAAGCAATATCTGATTTTGGAGAAACGTGAATAAAATATCGTAACACTACGAGGTTATAACATCTGGATATGGTCCTCCGCATCTTATGTATGTTCCTAGACGTGAAGGGAAAAGTGTGCCGCCTTCTCCTCCTGCAAAGACTTCTTTAACTCACCCAACATGTGTATGGTCAAAAGATCTGTGGCCATGATGTTGAATCAGCGGCAGAATTGGTGTCACCTTCAATTTTCGGTCATTACGGTAGATCGAACATTACCTACCTAAGCTGTGCACACAGTGCATCCGGGACCAACGGCATTGGAAGGGGGCTTGATGACACCAGACTTCCTGCCTACGATATTCTCATCTTTGACTACTAGACCAAAAGGGCATCTTTGTAGAGGCTTCTACCAGAGCAGCTGGAAGTAATCCTAATGGATCTTCATCGGGAATATGTTGTCTTGAAGTATTACCAACACGATGGGAATTAGTCACACCAAAAATGAGCCTGGAGCTGATTGACAAGAATTTTGCCCGAGTTTCACGTCAAATCGAACGTGTTCGTAACCTAATTTAGGCGGGAGACAAACTGAGGCTGCGGTAACCACCACTCTCATTGTGAAGTCCGAAGACGGAGCCGTGACATAAGTACCTTATGACATTAAGACCCGGGTGTTGGACTCAAAGCGGGGTGAAAGCTGATCTTTCTCGGGTGTTGATGGAAGGATTGGGTCTAATGTTAATGAAGAAAGCATGTCGGGTAGAACAACGCCGACGAACAACGCCGACGAACTACAAGTTGGAGTCATCTGATGAAAGCATCCTCGTCGCCTCCACCTTCGGAGCACAGCGCGCCGACAACAAGATTCAGGCTTGCGGCACCGTGGTAGCATCCACTTTCCCCAGTTTCCCCGGTCATTGCAAGAACCCCAGAGAGTCTGACGTGGGTCGTCTGGGGGGCAATTCTCCGATGGTGCGTTACGTCTTCTTCATGTATAATCATGCTCTTTGCTCCTGCAGCTGCAAGTCCTGACCTCTTGTTTCTTGGACTATCAGGCTCCTACTTCTACCCTATTAATAAGATACTATAGTCGACATGGAGATCTCGTATGGCGCAGCTGGTAATACGAACCCAAAGTATTGGCCTGAATGACGAGCGTCACTAAACATCATTACTAGGCTACAAAGGTCTCGTTCACGAGCCATACATCTTCTTTCTCGCATGTTTTGCAAGCATTGGTGGTGTGTTATTTGGGTAAGTTTTCACGCGGGTTCCTGGCCTCTTTGATGAAAAATTAAACTGAAGTGCAAGACTGATTGAGGCTCCTCTAGTTACGACCAAGGCGTAATCAGTGGCGTTCTGGTGATGAATAACTTTGTCAGTTTGCGTTCAACTGCTTTGCCGCCCGTGGGACTGAACAACCTAACGCCTATCCCTACAGGCCAAACAATTTCCAACCCTCTCCGAAGATGCGACTCTCCAAGGGTGGATGGTGGCAGTACTCACACTGGGAGCAATGGTTGGCGCATTGGTCAATGGCCCAATTGCTGACGCCCTATCTCGTCGCTGGACTATTCTCCTAGCCAACATCATCTTCCTCATCGGCTCGATCATCCAAGCTGCGTCGATCAACATTCCCATGATATTTATCGGCCGCTTCATTGCCGGGTTGTCGATCGGCCAGTTGTCCATGGTTGTTCCCCTATACCTGAGTGAGCTCGCGCCGCCAAACCTTCGAGGAAGTCTGGTCGCGCTTCAGCAGCTTGGCATTACAGTGGGAATCATGATTGCTTTTTGGCTAGATTACGGGACCCAGCATATCGGAGGTACAGGTGACGGCCAGTCTCCTGCAGCTTGGAGACTCCCGCTCGCTCTCCAATGTGTGCCCTCAATAATACTTGGAGCTGGGACCTTCTTTTTACCATACACCCCGCGTTGGCTTTTGATGAAAGGTATGATTGATCGGAACCTTAGGCGACTAGCCGTATACTTACGTTAAACCACTAGATCGCGAGGAGGATGCGCTTGCCACCCTTGTCCGCATCCGGCGTGTCCCCCCAACAGATGCTCGGCTTAAGCTCGAGTTGACAGAGATCAAGGTCGCAGCCCGATTTGACATCGAGACAACCGCCGAGTTGTTTCCTGGCGTCACTTCACGCCTGAAACTCACGTTGGAGAGATACAAGTCGCTCTTCGTTGTTCGCCATCTCAATCGCCGCTTGGTGATTGCCTGCCTCCTTCAACTCATACAACAATTTACCGGTATGTCCTATATCTGATTTGATTGTACTACTTGGTTGTATCCAAAGTCTAGTGGTGATCTCAGCGTCTTCTTAATGTATGACTAACAACAAGGCGAGGCATCAACGCTATCATCTATTATTCGCCGACAATCTTCCGGAACATAGGACTCTCAGACAACTCCGTAGATCTACTAGCAACTGGTGTCGTTGGGGTCATTAACTTCTTCTCCACCATCCCCGCCATCATGTTCATGGACAGATGGGGGCGGAAGAAAGTCCTCCTCATCGGCGGAGTTGGCATGGGGGTTTCCCAACTCATTGTTGGAACTCTTTATGCTGTCTACAAAGACAGCTGGGCAAGCAATAAGTCAGCTGGGTGGGCTGCTGCGTTCTTTATATGGGCCTACATCGCCAATTTTGCTTTCAGCATCGGATGCGTCAACTGGATTGTGCCTTCGGAGATCTTCCCGCCTGGAGTCCGATCCCAAGCGGTTGGTCTTGCGATTGGAACCAATTGGCTGAGCAACGTAAGTCAACACGAAATGCTGATAGTCTTGCACGCAATGCTCACATTCAAAAGTTCATTGTTGCTCTCATCACTCCCCGAATGCTCGAGGCGATCACATTCGGCACATTCTACTTCTTCCTAGGTAAGTCAGAAACTCCTTGGACCGTCGAGTGCATGAGTTAATACTAACTTGTCAGCGTTCTGTGTAATTCTCATTGTATGGGTCTACTTCTTCGTTCCCGAAACCAAGGGAGTTCGGATCGAAGAGATGGACAAGCTTTTTGGTGGTAATCAAGGAGAGGCGGACATGACCAGAATGGCAATTATCAGGCAACAATTGGGATTGATTCAAGGGGATGAGTTGACGAAAGAAGTTAGTATGGGATTTAGCGAGGTGGAAAAGGTATGAAACATCGATATCTAATCTATTCGGTGTTCGACTCGAGCTACCAAGCTCTGAGAAGTTTGAATTAGTGATTAATGTCGAGGATAGCCTTCTGTACTTGAACACTTCGTACGCCATAATCAGGGGTGCTTAGGAGACTGTACATCCAGCCTGCATGCCTAGAGGATAGCACATTCGGGGGGAGTCTAGGTGTCTCCTTGCCTTGATAGTGCGTTCCATCATGAGCCAAATGATGACCGGTAACACTCCTCCTGGAGTAGGCACGACAACAAGATTGCTAATGTCGTGCACTCCAGGATCCAAATCACCCATTTTGGTCTTCACATCAAAGCCGAGGTCAACTACCAGCTTAACCCCAGATCCAATCATGTTCGGTTTGATGGATCCGCCCTCGTTCCGTTCTGTCATAATAACGAAGTGGCGCTTGGAGTCCTTCCAGTCGATGCTATCCAGTTTACCATCGATCGCTTCCAGGATTTCGACGTGGGGAAGATGGCGCATCAAGTCCGCCTTGAAGCCTGGCGTGATGATGTTAGTGCCTCCCACCAGGACGATGGTCAGGTCGAGCATCCAGGCTTTTTGGTAGGCGTAAAGTAGCCGTCTCAGGGCATCCGCTGCAATATTGGTCGCATATCCCTTGGCGTATTCCTCAATGTGCTTTTTGGTGTGAATGCTACCCATTATTTCGCGTTCCTCGAGATGGTGTGGTAGAGGTCGCTGTATTAGAATGCCATGGGTGGTTCCGTCTTCATTCAATTCCGCAATTTTATCGAGCGTCTCATCGGCCGACGCGTCAGGCGCAAGTCGATGTGATATGTATCGAATTCCAGCCTAAATAGTTTAATGTTAGTTCAATCCTCTCAATCCATACTAGGTAGAGTGACGTATGTACCTTAGCAGCCACCTCGGCTTTGATCTGCAGGTACTCTTTCGCATCGCTACCAGTGTCGAAGTATATTACCCCTAGCGTTGGTTCGGTACCATCCCGCGATCTGTGTCGGTAGCACCATCGCTCTATGTCCGCAGACACAGGGAACCCTTTGAGAAGAGAAGCGCCGGGGACATGTTCGAAAGTAGGCTGAGATTCGTGCTTCTCACCAATGATGGCATCCCCTCCAAATGTGCTCAAAGACATGGCGAAGCGCGATGCACTCCAATCAGAGGCACAGACAGACAGGCACAGAATCAAAGAACCAGCTACGAACCCAAGCTCCTTTGATGGCAAGTGTCAGAGGCGACAGCCCGATTTTGATGTTCTGCAAGACGCGTCGAGCATGGGGGTAGGTTGCCTGGCGCGACGGGCCGCAGTGCTAAATGAATGTCTCAGAATCCCCGACTGAAGACGTCGATCTCGGTCTGCAAGAAGCCTCAATAGCTAGCGCCGGTGGGGGTGTGTCACACGGGAACGTCCAAGATCTTCATTCGTCTGTCGTTTTCGAAGTGAAGACAGTCGCGTCATTCTGCAGCGAGCCTATGTATTCCTTCGGCTGCGCTGGATGCAAGCCAAGCGAGTCTCGTTTGGGGCATATGATGCGAGGAAGACGGATACCCCAAGCTACGAAGGATTGGGTCTTACTATTATACAGATGATTTACGTATTCGCGATGTTCAATCGAGTCTACTCTATGTACTTCCATCTAGATCAAGCTTCAGTATTCTCGGTGGTGCTCTGCTTGCCGCGCCCAAAGATCTTGCTTGAAAGCTTTGAACACCATCTCGTCATCGTCGCAATCCCAAAAGACCATCCCCGGATTCTAACAGTGTAAACAAAGAAGTACACAAGAGCCCAGTTGGCAACGGCAAAGGCAACCAAGATGCCAAAAGCTGGCCACTTATCGCTGTTGTGGACGTTGAGCGTCTGCATGTACTCGCCGCCGTTATTGTATGGACAGTAGCCGCAATTGGACGTCGCGTTAGGGTCCTCCAGGTAGCCCGTCATCGCGACCTCATTGACGAACCGGTCGGCGTATTGGCCACAGGTTGAGCCTGGAGGCGGATTGAACCTGGCAAACTCTGTGGAGCTACACTGCACCACTGCCGGTGGGAGGACGGCCGAGAGGACGCCTCGGCTGAACCAGGTTGTTGGGTTGATGTAGTACATCCAGTACCTCCAGAATGAGGGCATGGAGGCATAAGGCACCAGGATACCGTTGAAGATGGCGATCATGACGAAAAAGAAGGGCAGGATCTGTTGTTGTCAATGTTAGAAAGAAATCGGAGCACAAGTATGGTTCAATTACTTACGTTCGACACGGTGGAGTATGAGGGCCCGAAGGCGGAAATCCACTGGCCCCAGCTGGATTGGAACAGAGACCAGACGAGAACCATGAGATAGGTGTAGCCAGAGACAGACGAAGTAGCCGGGAAGCCGACGGGAAAGTACCACAGTAGCCAGTAGATGGTGGCAGATACGATAGCCATGGGGATTTCACAAACGACGTTGGCTGTGCAGAATGCAATCCAGCCATATGTGCGACTAGGCAGTTCGCGGTCTTCCCACAGATCTCGGTTCTGGAAGAACTTGATCACGACGCTGTTGACAACTGTGGGAGGTACGAAGAAGATGAGAATAATGGCACTGAACATGCGGTTCTGCATGCCTGCGATGTCGTTTCCAAGCATCCAAAATGTCTACCAAGAAGTTAGTACCTGCCACAATTCAGGAGAGAATCAGTTGCCAAACTTACAAATCCGTTGAAGATACCCATGATCGTATGCACAAATACTCTGCTATACATGTACTGGGGCTCTCTCCAATGTTGGACAAACATCCTCTTCGTGAGAAGGAGGCACTGGTAGGCAGTTGAGGCCGCAAACTCCGTCTGCGCCGTCGACCTCTCTGGCAGAGCCCGTCTCTCGGCAGTGATCTGATCGATCTCTGCAACAATGGCTCTGTGCTCCTCCGAATTGCGCCACTCCTCGTTCCAGTCGATGCGCTGGCCATCTTTGATCGACGGTTGCGATGCCGTCTCGAGGATGAACTCAGCGACGTTGCGGCTTGGGGGGCAAAGAAAGCCTCTCTGTGTGAAGTAGTCGATGACAACTGAGCCATTGGTGCCGACGGGGCCAAAATAGAAAGTGTTGCCGCCTCGGTTGAGGGCCAAGATCATGTCGAACTGCTCGATAAGATCGGAAGAGGGCTGGTGAATTGTGCAGATGATGGCTTGCCCAGCGTCGCATAGCTTTCGGAGGAATCGGACAATGGAGAATGCAGATTGGCTGTCGAGACCACTCGTGGGCTCATCAAGGAAGAGCAGGAGACTTGGTTTAGCAGCTAGTCGTATGTCAGTTGAGGTTCCCAGGTGAAGCGAGGACTTCATCAGATAGAAGGCTTACCGAGTTCAACTCCAATCGTGACTCTCTTCCTCTGCTCCACTGTCAAGGAAGATATGATGGCGTGCTGCAAATCACCCAGTTCCAGAAGGTGAATGATCCGATCAACGTACGCAATCTTCTCCTCACGAGGGATTGCACGTTCCTGCCGAAGAAGCGCAGAAAACTCCAATGCCTCTCTGATCGTGGCGGTACCTTCGTGGATGTCTCTCTGCTCACAGAAACCAGTGCCTCTCTGGAACTCGGGCCCCAGGCTAGCCCCGTTCACAAGCATATCCCCCGTAACGACACCAATCCTTTGTCTCTGGGCGATGGTGTTGAGAAGAGTCGTCTTGCCAGCGCCCGAGCTGCCCATCAGCGCAATCATCTTCCCAGGCTTGGCATATCCGCAGACGCCGTTCAAGAGTTGCCGTTCGCCGCTGCCGTAAGGGACTGTGTAGTTGATGTCCTTGAATGTGAAAACACTTTGGCCGTCGCCGATGGGCTCAAATGCCTCGTCGGTCTCTTCCGCAGGCCTGCTCTTCTCGTTGTCCACGTTCTTGTCATCACGGGGTTTCGCGAAAATCAGGGACTGGGCACCAGATCCCTTGAAGCGAATCGTGTCGACAGCCAGAACGGTCATGGCGAGGAAGAAGACGGTGAAGGCGATCATAAAGCCAAAGTTACGCCATAGGTTCGCTCTCGAGCTACATATTGTCAGTGTGAACCTATGAGGGAGAAACTGGTATGCGAATCTTACTATTGAAACGAAGCCTGTAGATAGTCAGGACCGCTGACGATGGTGCTGCCCATGGTCGAGCCAGGAAGACTACAGCCTTGATAAGTGGGATCGGATCCGGGGCCCCGTGGCACGAGCTGAGACTCGCTGCATTGCATTTCTCGTCCAAAGAACTCGTTGGCTTGAAGGGCTTCAAATCCGTATGCTACGGGATTGATGTAGTAGATCCAGCCGAACCAGATGGCGTCGCTGAGGAGATTGGGTTTGGGGATGACATATCCCGTCATGATGAACATGATGTTGAGGACTGATATTGTCAGTTAGATTGATCTTTGAGAGAGTTACTGAGCCGGATAAGCGGACTTACCGACGCCAACAAACCGGATAGAATCGTCAACGGTGGATGAAAGTGAGGCGAACATCCGGTACATGGTTGTTAGACAAAAGGTAGCCGTGTACACGATGAGTGTGTAGATCCAGAATTTGGAGGCGTCAACGTCGAATTGCGCCAAGAAGTAGACTGGTACGGAGAACAAGAGCGTCATGATGAGGATCAGTGGGAAGTCCAAGAGCATCCTCGCAATGACCACAGCAGATGGCCTGTAGAAGGCAAACACTCTCTGCCTCTCAATCGTCGTTCTACCATCAATCGCAGGGACGAGTTCTGCAAACTGAAGCCATCCGATAAAGGCAATCGAGAAGAAAGCCACACCGCCTCTCGCAAAGACGGAAGACGTGTCCTGTCCGGAGCCGTAGAAAAGCGACGAGACGATGAGACTGTTGGCAATGATGATGGCGAGCTTCGTGTAAAAGGAGCTCCGGTCACCCCACAGGAGCCATGCCTGGCGCTTGGTGCAGGCAGCCACTTGTTTGAAAAATGAGACGGTATAGATGGAATCGCCGATGACAGTCTTGCTCTTTGCGTCCTTGACGGTCGCTGCGAACATTCGGTGCTTGTCGTTGTTCGCTGACCTGCTGCCCCGTTCGTAGTCCTCGACATCTTGGAGGATGCGCTGGTAGTGTTCGCTCTCCAAGAATGTCTGTTCAAGCTCTTCCGGTGTCTTTGGAGTCGTTTCTTCTCGGCCGGGTTGGAAATGACGGGCATTCTTGTCGGCGATGGAAGTGAGAAAGTCGGCAGTAGTTCTGAAGGGCAGGCTTGTTAGCTTCTCAACCTTTTGATAATATGTCCACTATCACTCACTGTCTAGGAGGGCATAGGTATCCCAAGTCCTCAAAGTATTTCTTCGCCTCATCGCCAGGTCCCTGGAACAGCATGCGTCCGTCATCTATGACAAGGACCTTATCCATTAATTCGTAGATTGACTCTCCAGCTTGGTAGAGTGTCACGAGGGTCGTCCTCCCACTAACATCGGTGTAGACGCGGAGCGACTTGGCGAAACTGAGAGCCGTGCTGGCATCGAGTCCTCGGGTAGAGTTGTCCCAGCAAACAACAGATGCTCGTGTGGCTAGCGTCTCAGCCAGACTCACACGCTTTCGCTCTCCTCCAGAAACACCTGAAAAGTGTCAGTTGGGTTGGCTCAAGGTTGTTAAGGCCTGAATTTCTCACCTCGAATATGTTCGTCGCCGACCAACGTGTCCTTAGTGTGATCGATTCCAAACATCTGAAAAAGCGAATCGAGAATCAGTGGGATCGTCCATTGCTCTCTTTTCCGTGTTTTTGTCTTCAGGGCGAACCACAAAGTCTGCCAGACCGTGAGCGATGGGAAATGCCGATCGTCCTCTTCGCAGTACACGACTTCGCCTCGGTATCGCTCCAGTTGATCTTCTGCCGGTATAACGCCATAATGTACTTCTCCATCGACCTTGGCGTATTCGTCCCGGTGGTTGGCGATGGCCTTCAGAAAAGTCGAACATCCGGAACCTGGTCGCCCTAGAACTAGCATGATCTCCCCGTGTCGCACCGTTCCTGTCATGTTCCTAATGAGATCGACAGTCGGCTCTTTGTGAATCTTTAGTTTGGGGAAGATGCCAGTGATGAAATGGTAAAAGTCCGGTCCAAATGTGTTGACTAGGTCTCGGGGAAACGTCGTCACTTGCTTCGTCGATGACTCGATGCCCTTGACCGTCAAATTCTTGAAAGAAACACCTAGTCTCTTTGCTGGCCCGCCGCTCGGTGTGCGCATGTCCATGATTCCCCTCCTGAGAAAGTCGGGCAGGTCGAATGTGTCATTGCCAGATAGACTAGGTGCGATTGTCGAGTCACTCTCTCCTCCGGCATCACCATGGTGTTCTGAAGGCTTCCGTTGATATGCAGTAGAATGGCGGTGTTGAATCGTGCTCAACTCCTTCTCAAGATCGTGATACTCCTCCAGTGCGGCGTTTATTGAGATTTCGCCTGCCGCATTCTCGCCCCAGCGGCCGTCTTCCTCTAGTCTCGCGGCCCCCGCCATGGTGTTGCTCTCGAAATAGAAAATGAGAAAGACAGGGGTATCTCTATGAGTGCGAAAGTCTATTGGTCAAGTTGATGACGCTGGGAGTCGATCAGGTAGGTCGAGGTAGCTGGATAAGGAATTCTGGAAGAGATGGAAAATGCAAGTGATCAACAGCAGCAATAGCAAAAGGCTTGGACGTCAGGCTCAAGAAGCTTTGAGGTGAACAGCTGGCATACAAATAAGCGTATCGAATGCATCCTGTCTATTATGTCAAGTCTTTGAAGGCTAAGGTAGACTCCGCATGATGTAGCCCACCGGCCGGCAACGTTGCCATTAGCGTCCTCAACATGCCCTCCGCGGAGGAAAATTTGTAATCCGCAACGGTCCGCCAGCATTAGCAGCAAGGGGTTTGAATCAGAATAGGACATGCAGGGCTCACCCAAAGAGGGTTGTAACAATCCCTGTGGAGTAGTAAACCAAATCTCATCTGCTCCGTGGGAAACATTTATGACCAACGCCGAGGGTGAAAGAGTCGATGGCACCCTTATCTTGAGGGGTGAGGAAACCCCACGCATAGTTTGCCATGATGACATACAAGCCCAACATTAATTTCCAGCCAACAGGGACTTGCATGTGCTTTCGTTCCGGCAACTCATACAAGCGCCCATTATTAATCCCCAAAAGGCCAAGCTCACTTTTTTTTTCACCAGAGACGGAATCCAAATTCCTCTAGGAGTGGGGCCGGGTTTTCTTTCGACTTTCGCCGTGGCGTCTCTAGCGTGGTGGCGGATCCCGCACCCAGTATTACACAGCATACTGTTTGTGCCGATGTTTGAGGCACGACATGGAGTTAGAAGGGATGGCGTTTTCCATGACTCGATTGACTCTCCAGCTCGGCCATTGGCCGTTAGGATCTGTCTTGTTCTCTCTGTTATGACCGTTATTCCCTGGCTTTGGTATTGTCTCATTACAAAGGTAACTAACTCCCCGAGCGTCATTGCCGCTCCATGTTACAGTATGTGATGCAGATTGCTCTTTTTGCGCCAACATTCTTCGTAAGAGCTGATGACTAGATCTACTCTTGATACTGAAGTACTTGAAGAGGTCTCTGGTTTTATGAACAAACTCCGAACGAACAGACAGTTTTTAGCATTCGTTGCCGTCCAGACTAACAACTCGACACGATCCACTCAACTGCAGCTTGCTGACGCGCCCCACATGTTGCGGTCCAAGCTGATCGACGAGCCCAGCACAGGGCAGCTGGCAGCAAGTCTTACGCATATCTCGTATCTTATGAGGAGGCTCCAATGATAAATAGAGAATAAACGACTGGAGGCGCCTTGACAGGCGGTGTGAAGCAGAGTCTTGGATGTGCATACTGTCACTAATTCTCGTCTGCATCTGGAAATCTTACTAGATTCCCTCGATTGAGTTCAACGACCCCTCACTGTCATTTCAGCCAGAGTTTTGGGAACTTCTGCCGATACTCCGCGCCTAGGTTGCCATTCTAGGATATGGCTTGTGAAAGCTCCAATTTAAAGTGAAGTCGAGATGCATCCGCCTTTTGGTTGTCTTCCGGCTGACCAGCGACGCGTGCTATCAATGCATACATGCATGCATTCAGGTAGCTCAGTAGAGGGCCGCTGTGACTCATTCAATTCCGGCTGCAGCAAAGGGTTAAGGGAGGATCACAGACAAGATTGGCAAGTGACAATACCGGGAACCCTGGCGACCTGGAGATAAGCGGAATGCGGTTAAGTTGCTAAAGTCCGGTGATCCGGCCCCACTCTTCGGGGACAAGTCCGGAGCTGAACACGGCTGACGTTCGGCAGATCTCCGGGAGGCTGTAGAGAGAAATTTGTTCATATGCTAGGCCCCCTTCTTCTTCTGGGACAGTGTTACTGGAGCAGAGTTTGAACTCGAGTGTCGTTGATGCCAAAATTCCATTAACCAAGAATTCGAGAGATCTCATCAAGCCAACCGTTCAACCGCACGGGGGCTTCGTGGTTCATCTCAGTCAAATACCTGGTAGCTGTTCAATGGTCAAGGAAATTGGTGTTTTAACGCTAATATCAAAAGCTAGTGACATTCAAGGAAGGAATCGATTCCCAAGATATCTCTGACATCTTCGGGAACTGGGAATTCCTTCTCAATGGAAATCAGGCCTAACGCTACCAGTTCGTCATCACCGACATCAGGCCGCTCGTCCAAGACTCTTTTCAGCTCCCGCGCTCTGGTCGTCACGTCTTCAATACCAACTATTCCTTCAGCAACCCAAGAGCCGCAGATACGAGCAGGAATGCCAATCTGAATGCTTCGATACGGAAGCTTCTCCAACCGCACATCGCGTTCTGGGTCCCATTGGACGCGCACCCGCCCGTCGCCCTTTTCCAAATCGCTGCCGTGGGTTGAAACGCTTTGACGAAGAAGGTCGACGAAACCGGCGTGGGTCATTTTGATCGCCAAGATGCGCTCCTGGCCGCGATCTTTGTATGAATAACCTGCGCGGTACAGCATCCATGCCCAGCTTGGTTTGATCCAGGTCATGCGGGAAAGTTTGAAGTTTGGGGATGCGTCGAGCTTCTGAGCAGTAACGGCTGCCTCTGCGATGGCGGCGTTGTACGCTTGATAGACCGTGATAGTCTCATCGTCGAAATAGGCCCTAATCTGTCTGAGGGGCGTTGTTGTCTTCGAAGCTTGGCCTCTGCTTGGTTGATGAGTGGTTGAAGCCATTCTCAAATCACTTGACGATGGCTGGTGTGTTGCATGTAGATGATGAGGGAGCAATCCAGAGCCAAGGCCGGCGGAGATGTCGACGGAGAGACAGCAGCTTTTCTGATCTTCAGCTCAGGTAACAAATTCACCGCCACGACGCCACAACGCAGCTAGTGAGTCACGCCGACCCAAGAAGAATCAATCTCATCAGCAAACAAGTTCTCGCAATCGAACTCAGCATGGTGAGCGCAACGAACAACTTAAGCACTTCATCTGTAGGAGTCTATGCTCTGCTGTACGCGTTCGCCAACGCTCTCATCAGATGGCATCGAGTTTAACGTCCGATTAGCGTACTTCTTATTCTTCGCAGGGTCCACCTCTTCGACAAAGATCCGAGTCACAGTCTCCATCTGAATGCCCTTGAGGCCAGACACGTCCCGGTCGTGCAACGACGTCTGACTCTCGCTACGGTCGTGGCTGGCCTCGGAGCCAAGCCTGGCGCGGCGCGAGGGTCTGCGAAATACACTCGGCTTCCTGTTATGCGAGTCGTCTTTCGAAGCGCCACCCTCAATCCAGACCCTGTGGCCATACTGTTGACCCAGGGGCGTGAAGTTGAACGTGTCTAGGCCGACATTTTGCTCGTCGACTGGCGCGTCAAAGAGAATGCCGCTACGCGTGCTCGAGAAGATGAGGACATCGATCCATCCGTTGGAAGTGATCATGCAGCCAGCGAAGATGAGGTATTCTGCCGAGAGCTTGATACCCCCGCTGCTGAGGATACGTCCCAGGGCCAGCGGCGCTGTGCATAGGAGGAAGACAATGGGGTAGAAGAGGAAGAGGATGCGCTTGTGGACCTCTGTCTTCTGGTTGTGCTGCGACATGACGTTCGGTAAGGTCGTGGGGCTCAGTACACCGTCACATGAGGCTTCTTCCGCAGCAGCGGCTGCCTTTCTGGCGCTTCGGAATGCCTTATCTGCCCGGTGAACGTGGACGAAGACCAAGACATACGATACGGTTCCCGTAATGATCAGGGTGAGCATCCAGGCATAGTGTAAGTACATCCGCATAGCCTCATATTCTGAGTTGATCCAGCACTGTGAAAATTTGAAGTAAGCATATGATTTATGACAAGCTCGAGCTGGAGAGAAGGCCTTACCCAGGTAATGTCGCGGACATAGAAACCACCTTTACCGGCGCCGTTGTTGGTGATGATCACCCCAAGTACAGACATAAACAAAACAAAGAACCACAAAAGAAAGATAGTGCTGTAGAAGGCCTTGCACGAGATCTTGAGACCTCTGACCAGGGTGAGATAGGTATGTACTGCGATGAATGCCACAAAGGCGGTAGACGCCAGGTCGCCCGTAGAGATGAACCACCCCTGGGCCCAGCACGCGGCCGAGTCGTCGGTGATCTTATCCTCCACCAACCAGACAACGTCGAGGAAGAAGGCGCAGGCCTGGATGGCATCGGCGAAGAGCACATTGAGTAGGAGAATGAGGAACTGATTCGGGACTCTCGATCCCTTCGTCTGTCCGTTTGCGTTATACTGGGCCTCGAGTTCGTGGGGTAGACCGGCGATGACTGGAACCTGTGTGGTGGTGGCAGGTAGTTGTTGTTCCTTCTTCGGACTCGTCCTCCGATACCAACATGCGAGTCTGCCAATTAGGTATACTAGGAGCGAGAAGGAAGTGACGAGAGAGAAAAACGAGAGCGTAACGACGGCTTTGAGCCCATGTCGAAGAACCGTCGGGAGCGGCGAGAGAGTGTGTGTTCGTGTGTACATGATTGCGGATAGTTACCGGTTATTGGGATGATTATGAGATTATCATGACCGTCGTGCCTGCCGACCTTGCCCGTTGAACCCAGGTTGTTCCTCCGCCAAAAGACAAGTCAAAAAGAAAGACTACGGTGGTCTATGAGCCATCATGAAATGTTCACTCTTGGCGTGGCTTCGTTACTTGTACGAACGAGCGGTAAACGCTGGTAGACCAATGTCCGGCATGAGATGTCCGACGTCCGCGGGGTAACGCCTCCCTGGGGAGCCTTGAAGCCCAACGGGCGCAACGTTCTTAGCTCGCGGGATGGCGTCCGGGAAGGCCAGGAGAACCATGCCTCTCTTCATCTGTCAAGATGCCATATGGCAGCTCACCCCATGCCTAGTTTAGCTAAGCCTCTGCCGATGAGTGAGAACTCTAAAATCAGTCGACGAGTGAGGTTTCCCATGCCAAGGTGAAGTTGAGGAAGAGACCCTGCCAAGGTATGGAACAGTGTAGAGAACGCCGCGCTTGGGGTCCAAAACGGCCAGGGATCCGGATCGTTCGGCGTTCGGCCGAGCAGCCTAATTCGTCCATTTATCCCCCTCTCCCGAACTCATACCACCTATCCACAGTAACCACAGACATCGGCATTGTGCCTGCAAGCCAGTCCACCCATGCCTTCGTGCCGTGGGGGGCAAGGGGTAGAAGAGCCTAAGAGATCGCCTCATGAAAGCTTCTCGGCGATGACAGGCCAAAAGAGAAGCTCATAAGGGGCGGCTCGGCGTCGCTTTCGGAATTTCGGTTGATCTTAACAGCCTGTCGATTTCGAAGCTATCTCTCACAAACCCTTGAGATCTTCATCGCAGCATACGGAACGTGGGTTGCGGATGGCACTTAGACGAAAAAACTAACGTCGCCCCATGTCCACGGAGAAATTGGTCGTACGGCTATGCGAAATATGCAGCCCACGCAAGCGAACAGACAACGCACTGGAAGCAACAGGCACGTGAGGAATAAAGTTTAATGAGTGGAGTTGAGCGCCGCTCCAAACTCTAATAGAAGCACCAAGTGGTCCCCGATGTGGAAAAGGAGACAACGAGGATTCTTTCAGGAATTACAGGCTGGCTCGGTAGCATTCAACCGAGATTTGAAACAAGATAAAAAACATGCTCAGAAGAACTTGAAGCTCTTAGTCACCTATTACGGCTGGGTGGGAGGGCGGTGAGTAGCCTCGACGGACTTTTTTTGAAGCCGATTTTCCTTTGGCTTAGTTGATATGGACCAAAGTGGCACCCTTCTATGGGCGGCGCATACAAGTGCCATAAGCGCACCCGGCGGCTCTTCTAGAAAGAAGAGAGAGGAAACTTCTTCGCAAGGATTGTCACGTCATTTCCAAGAACGTACATAGACGATTGTGTAACCTTTGCTGGAGTCATGTCCTCGTACCCACGATGGGGAAATTTCCACAATGTGCCATAACGTCGGTAACGTACTTCCTTTCAAGCGCTCGGCTAACCGTGTCGTTGCGAGTCAGAAGGTATCATCGGAGGCGGCTGGGCGAGATCTTGTTTCTCGCGCGACGAAGTGCGAGCTCGTGGCGAACAGGGTTAATCGTTATGGCGATGATGAGTTCATAGTCATATCTTTTGCTTTCTCTCGTAAAGACGGCTTGTCCACTACTTTGCTCAGAGTGCACCGTAAGTATTTTCCTTATTCAGAAATTCAAGAAAACCTTCTTAATTGCTGTGATCGCACAGACAATTGTCAACTACGGAGTACCTAGCCTAGCTTGCTGGAACTTGTCGTTGGGGAGACAACTGACGCAACCTGCCTCTCGTCAGACTGGAAAGTGCAGGAGATGCCCGTAATTTCATGTCAATTCATAAGCCTTGACCCTTCGGTGGTCTAATTGTTTTCGCTTGTAATGATAGAACCCGCGGGCGCCCGCGCGCTTACGGCACCACTGTCTCGCTTGTTGTTCTATTGACATGGAAGTCTCGGGGGGTTTCACGATATTGGCGTCCGTCGGCGACACCGCTCAGCCCCGTAATGGACATGAAAATGAATCCGATTTAAGATTCGGAGCAATCTTTCTCTCTTTATCGGACTCGGCCGGTTGAGTTATGTAAGGTACGAATACGGCATGGAAACCACAACGTCGGCGATCTCAATCCAGCAAGGCCCTGCCAGATGCCACACCGGGCGCTGTTCAATTCGTAGGGCACTGGGCAAATGGCTGGATATCCGGGATAAATCTTGCATAGAACCCGCAATCGAGCAGAAATTTACCCAGCACTCCCTCTACTACGTAACACGGGGATTTGCGGAGTACGTCAACACGCACACGCAAGACTTCAAAAGCTGTTCCATTCATACTATAATAAAGTTCTCACTTGGTGGCTTACGGTCCGCCCAAAACAACAGGGGTGCACTGACCAGCCACCTCCTAAGTGGAGAGGTATTGCGACTATTGTCTCTCTTGTCTCGTAAATCTGAATGCAGATGTAAGCCTTGAAAGGTAAATCGAAACGTAGACACATATCCGAGCGGAAGCCCGCGATTGCGCGGCAATCCAGAGGTTGACAGGTCAAGATGCGGGCTTATCAATAGCCGATGAGGTGGAAGACTATGGCGGAAAGCTAGACAGATCGCTGCGGTCTTCTGACGCGCTTGTTCTCGTTTTCGCTGTCACAATTCTCCAGGAGAAAAATGACATGGCGAAGCAATATTTGCCGCCAAGGCTATCAGTCAGCTTTGCGGACCCAAGACTGATAGGAATTAAGTCCTGACAGGAGCCGCAGCACCCAGACTGTCGGGCAAAATGCATCTGCAAAACATCATGAACGCCGCGTGACCCTCCAAGTCGAGGGTTCTGGCCAGAATGTCTCCACCTAATCGACAAACGAGGAGCATTGGGATGACAATCTCGGATGCTGTGGATAACAATGGTCTAAAAGCTGTTTTCGAAGGCCCACGTACAGCGGGCGTTGCGCTTGAATGCTTGAAGATGAACTCCAACCCCTGATGTATCAATAGCCTGTTCACAACTAGCGGGTGATCGTCGCCTTCAATTCAAAATGGATCCACGGCGGTTTCAAGACCGTGAAAACTTTATGCCAAGAACTCGATGAACACCCAACGCCACTCTAGTCCATAATATCTAATTGCATATCGCAACTTGTATGCATTCTCAGTACTTGTAGATGCATTGGTGCCCGACTGCAACGATGAAGGACTAAGGTACAATGAAACCGATATCATCATGCGATCTTCGTCAATTGCGATAGTTGCCACAGATCCGTATCTGATTGATAAGCCGAACTGTAACTAGCACGACATTGTTCCGCAGCTGCCGTTACGTGGGCAGACTCTCTATTTCTGGCGCGGTCGAGGCTGACAAGCGAAGAGGGCAGAATTCAACTTGCGGCGTGTTGGAGAAGAACAGGGGCAATTCCGAAACCTACTACTTCTCTTTACTTCCTATCCCGATGCAACTCATCGGGATCGAGGTAACAACGAAAGCGACCATTACCTGTCAATCTTAGTTGAGATGATTTCTGCCATAATCATTCCTATCTCAAGGGCATATGCGCCGTATCCGCACTTCTTTTCACATTGTGCTCTCATGACTAGAGCCTCACTCACAGATGAAATGAAAGGCCAATTTCTTGTGGTTTATGAAAAGATTGACGGAGATGTGGTCTATCATCTGCGTCATGTGAGCCCACAAGTGACATGCTAGAAAGGAGCTCATGTAAGGTCAAACATAACGGCAGGCCAGAGAGTACGGTGATGCCAATTGGGATCAGATGAGGATGTACAGACGAGTGTCAGAGTGTTCCAATACAGCTCACCTTCTCAACTGGTGGGGTTGACTGCTCTCGTGACCCCTATCAATGAGCATTCCTCAGTTTTTATCACACGTCTATGGTCTAATTCGAACTCCGAGCCAAACGATTAAGACACGAGTTTCATGAAACCATCGTTACTATCCCCTACGCACTGACGCAGCAAAAATAGACATCCGATCAAGTGCTAGGCCGGCACCGTACATAGGATCTTAAGGTATGTTGACTAAGGATATCGGCCCGGCCCTATCTCCCTCATTTGCCTATAACTAGTTTTGAAACAAAGTGGAAGTTGGGAAGAGACTGAAAAGATCTATATTGACGTTTTGTTGCAGTCAATGGAATACGCTTTCTGAACACCGCGCAGTCACAGCATATCGATGCAAAGACCCATAAGTGGAATACAACGACATCCTAGGTAGAAAGTTTTCGGACGTATCCATTCGATTTAAGCGCGCATATGAGTGACATACTTGCACAGTTCATCGGAGCCTCCTCCGAACCGGTGGGCGTCTTTCCCCACGATTCGTGTCCGCTGATCACCTTCGGATACAACGCGCAAATCATAGGCAAACCCTCGCGATTATCCTCGGAAGAAGTGATTGATATTTTGGGGCTGACTTGCTTTTATGAAGCTTCAGCCCTGCGCTGGAGATCACACTCCATCGAACGAGTCCCGTGAGCAGATTGCTCGACTTCATGACGCGAGCTAGAACTCGGAGCCGTGCGAGACAGCGAGGTGAAATGTCAAAATGAAATTAGCGAGCAGTGATCGGCGGGACGGAGAATAAGTCGCTATGGTATCCGCAAATTCCCGGTCAATGCTGAGGTGGTCTTTTACCAAGTCAATCAGTGTTAAGAAGAGAGCCTGAACCACAAGGCCATGTGTCGAAATGGAGGAGACCTTGAGCTTCTGCCATCTGACGAGATCGCAACATGCCATCGAGATTTTTGAGCGAATCCGAGATTGTCACCAGCAATTGTAACCGATATACAAACTGGAAATCCGTAGAAAGAATTTCGGCGGGCTGGATTTGATGTGCGATCCGCGTTCAGAGCTGATACTCACCAAAAGATTTCCTTCTTCAGACTGCATTTCATCATGGATTTGTAGCCCATTGCTACTGTGACTTGATGATCTGTTAGGACTGACCGCATAGATCTCCTGTCATGGCATC